AAGCAGCAACATTTTGGACAGGCACCCTGTCAGGAAATCACAGCCAGGGCTGACCTGGTGCCCCAGGGGAGAAGCAGAAGCCCTGGCAAGGTTGAGGTGTGGGCCACCATCCCCACAGGTAATTTCAAGACTCCAGCATTGCTGATCCCCAACTTCCATCTCACCCTACTCATGGGCAAGAAAAGCCATGGAATATTCTATCATGTAAAAAAATAAGATAAAAGATAAAAAATGTATTTTCTTATTTCTTTATTGGGGAACATCTCCCTGGGCTCTGCATTTCCTGGGCTCTTCTCTCCCTTTTGCCAGTACACATGATTTTTTCTCTTCAGCACTGGGACACAATGACCACAGGTTTCCAAGGAACTGCCTACAGCAAACCCCCCAGGTCTATTTTTCCCCTCTGCACCTTCCCAAATAACACAACACTCATTCATGGGCATGAATAATTCCTTACAATTCCTCTTGGAGTACAAATAATTCCCTGTAACTCCTCTTCGGCTCGTCTGCCGTTACATCACCCTGTCCGTGTGGGCAGTGAGTATTTCTGGCCTCTCCGTTTTTCTGACTCCAGCTCTTTTCAAGCCACCTCACCTCTCTCCCTGTAATTAGTAACAGCCTTTTCCATCACAAAAGTTGGAATTTTCGTTGAACTGTTGAAATCCAGCCCATTCCTAACAGTTTTTTTGTGCAGCACAAGTTGCCACAGGACACTGAGGCCAAGACTTGGAAAGGTTTTTTCATTCCCTTGTGCAAGGCATCACCTGGAAGGCTCTAAAACAAGAAAACAGGAGTAACCCGAAGCAAAGGCTGGCAAGGTCTGTGTTGACCAAAATGCATTTCGTGCTCCCTGAGTTGTCTTTTATTCTGAAAAAGAGCTGAGCTATCTTTCCTAGAAGCCAAGCAACGCAGTTCACATTAGAGTTTACTGACCTACAGGCTGTGCATTGTGTTAGAGGGGAAAATATCCACATTATTTACATACTTGAGCATAGTTTGTTCCCTGTAATCACTGAAAATCCCTTCTAGCAGGAGGGCTTTTTGCAGGATGTGGTTGGTTTGAGCTCCAGGCTTCACCTTCTGAATTATGATCTCTTTTGCAGGCCGTGGATTAAGTGTGTGTATATACACTCAGACAATGCACACAGCCTGGTGTGGGCTTGTTTTTGTTGCTGAGATTTTTTTTATGAGAGGGAGAAAAAAACCCCCACAGAATCATAAAATCACAGAATGGTTTGGGTTGGGAAGGACTTGGAAGTTCATCTTGTTCCAACTACCTGCCATGGACAGGGACACTTTCCACTAGACCAGGTTGCTCCAAGGCCCATCTAACCCAGCCTTGAACACTCCCAGGGATGGAAGATGGGAGATTTTGCAGAGATGTTTTAAATTCTTGGCCAGTGCTGCAGGATGGGAAGGGCAGATCCAAGTGTCTCTTATCTTTTCTTAATTCCCACTCTGACCTGCCCATCTTGACATGCTCTTGCCCCTTTCCCTGACTGTTCCAAAGCCATTTGATGAGACAAAAATACATCAAGAAATATTTGCATGAAGGCAAACAGACCAACAGAAAGCACAGGAGAAAAGCAGAACCAAGAGAAATTCAGGAAAATATTTCCTGGACCACTTCCTAACCAGGGTGCCGGGGAGGCATTTGGATAAAAGCAATAGCAAATCCTTTGGAGCTAATGAAAACCATCTATTGCAAGCAAAATTAAAATGCAATCTGCAGCCCTGCCCTCTGTCCCAGCAGAGCTGCTCTTTGCCTTCATTTCCAAGCAGCACAAAGAGTTTGTTCTTTAAAACAGGGCTGTGAGAGGTGGGATCTTGCACCCCTGATCTGCTGTGCAGATGGGAAAGTAGTGGAGCAACCCTGGGGTTTGGTGGTACTCCCTGATTTCAGAGCAAGAAGCTTCTCTCTCTGCAGGAGCAGCTTTTATTTGAGGGGGAAAGGTGACTTTGGGTTTGCAGATGCCTGAGGAGTCCCTGGAGGAAAAGCCAGCAGATGGTGCTCAAGGATGGACCCAGGATGTTCCTGGGTGTCACCATGTGTCCCCAGGGACCTGCAGCCAGCCGAGCAAAATCCTCAGAGGTTTCCTAAGTCAGGGTGGAAATTGCCCAGCTGAGGCACATCAGAAAAGACCTGCGAAATTTAACCACTCTCTGCCAGTTTCACTGGATGTTTTTTTAAGCTGGGACCCTCATTCTGGCGGTGGGAGGACATCAAAGCCACCTTTGCATCCTGGGGATGATGTAGCACACGGGGCTTTTAATTTTTTTCATGGGTAGAGAGAGAATTCCTCAAAACCCTCTTCCTGACTCATAGCATTAATCACATCTAGTTATTAATACACCAGGGAGGAAATATTACTGAACTTAGTCCCAGATGCCTCTAGAAATTACCAGTGGGATGTGATCCAGTCTTTAACTAATTATCAGAGGGTTTGTTTGGTGTCTGGGGGTGGAAAGTAGACTGTCCCTGCAGATGTCACCCTCTTCCCAGGGGTGTCACCCACCCCCAAAATGCCACAGCAGCCACAGCCCAGGTTCCCATGATGGATGGGAATCATTTCTCTAGGAGTCACCAACACAAATTGTAAGGGAACTGCTAAAGGAAGGTTGTAAAGGGTTGTGAGTGAAAGGGGGAAAAATAACCCCACCCCAAAATGCCCTGAGCATCCTATCTGGCTGCTCCCCTGCTATGTGTCAGTGATAAAGCCCCTTTTTGGAAAGGAAGATCTTCCAGCTTGGTTATTACAGCCATGAGGCAGTCAGATGGGAATTGAAGAGCTCTTGCAGCCTCATTTAATTACTGGAGCACTTGGTAAAAGTCACTTCAACATTAAAACCATGTTAAGTCAAAGGAAAAGAAAAAAGAAATGCTAACAGCACGAAAAGAAATCAGTCTTACTCCCCAGTTAATTGTGTTCTCAATTGAGCTGTGATAGGCACATTACACTGCTCACACATTTTCACCAGTGTTGTTACATTATTTATCTGGAATTCTCTGACTTGGCTGTTTTTCACCACTGTTCTGGGGGTGCGTGGAGCTTTCCTGTGGTTTGTTCTTTTGGGGTTTTTTTTTTTTTCAGCCAATTAAAGTGTTCCCCTGCACTCCCTCACTGCCACACAGAAAACTCTGGTTTTCCAGGCAGATCTGAAGAAAAGGCCACACAGATCCCAGCTGCATGCTGGATACCACTGGTGGTGGCAAACTGGAAGCACTGGTGGATGTAATTCTTTATTATAATAGCAACTGTAGCCTCATCTTCTTGCTTTGCTGAATCTCAGAATAGCCTGAGTTGGAAGGGACCTTGAAGACACCTGGTTCTATCCCCCTGCCATGGGCAGGCACATCTTCCACTAGACCTGGTTGCTCCAAGCCCTGTCCAAGCTGGCCAGGAACACTTCTAGGGATGGGGCATCCCAGCTGAGCTCTGCCTGACAGCTGAAATCACCTGGAAAGGCCTTTGGTTTGGTTCCTTCTGCCCACATAATGCTCCTCCATCATATGTGTTTTATTTTTTAGCCGCTGTCCCTCACCCTGGGTGAAAATAAAAATTTTAAAAAATTAAAATAAAATAAGCTCATTGTAATTTCCAGCAGTTCCTGTTTCCACCACCCCCAGTTCAGTGCCCACTGACACCCAGTGAGGAGCTGCAGCTCCCTTTGGCCCGGCTCATTTGTTATTTGGGAACTCCCTGCCTGTAAGCTGCAGCCTGACAGATTTTGGAGGGGTGGCATAATGCTCTGCTTGCCTTTGGGCAGGAGCCTGGGGAGTTTCTCCACTCTGTCTTCAGTCCCTGCCAGCACCAAGCCAAGCACAATTTCTAAAAGGAGTTATTGCCTCAGTCCAAGGGCTCAGCACTTCCCTGAAGCATTCCAGCTATTTCTTTATGTGGCTGCTCTTTCAAACAGCACCAACCCAAGAGCAAACAACATAAATCCCCCATTTGAAAAGAAAAGAACTTGACTATTTGGTTCCAGGGACTCCATCTCCACTCCAGCCTTATATGGAACCGAGCAAGAGCAAGAGATAAGAGTTAAAGTTTCCATACCAGTGCTTATTGCAAAACACAGCAAAGCCCAGCCTGAAATCTTTGAGTTTGGCCAGTGGTCCTGCTAGAATACAGGAACAGAAAACAGGATTAAATTAGCCCCAAATTTATTAGGCTCTGCTTAATGAAAGGTTAAAGTATTCTTTCACTTCACATATGTTTAAAAAAATTTTAAAAAACCAGCCAGTCAGGAACTTGCAGACTGGATTTGCTGCCTTTTAAACCTATATATCTTTTAAAATACATATCCTTATGCTAAGGTGTTATAAGTTATGTATAAGACAAATCCCCCACTTCTGCCTGCCCATCTGGGGATGTATAAATGCTTTACCCAGCCTCTCTCCCCTTGTGCTGGTGTTGTAAGCACTCAGGGAGAGAGGCTCTGCTTTACCCAGCCTCAGCATCTCCGAGCGGCGCTGCTCCTTTGGGATGGTCCTTGGCACATCCCCGCTCCTGCAAAAATCCAGCACCAAAAGACATGGTTCCATCAGCTTCCTCCAATCCCACAGGGCTGTTTTTAAATCTTTCCCCCCCCCCCCCCCTTTTTTTTTTCTGCTTGTTTTTTAAATTTTAATATCTATTTCCCACCAACAAGGGAGCAGCGCTTCGGACGCGGCAGGGCCAGCGCGGCGAGGGGGAAGCCGCAGATTGCGGAGGCGTCCCCCGAAGAGAGAAGGGGGGGGGGGGGGGGGGGATGACTTTGTGTGTGTGATGAGCAGCTCTGACCTCAGCCCCGGGAACGCCAGCACCAACCATCTGGATCCCATTTGCGACGCCCGGCCCCCCGGCAGTGCCGAGCCAGCCGCCTCCTCCGGCCGCGCTCAGACCCACGGCAGCCGCCGCGCAGGGACCAGCGCCCCTCCAGAGCCCTGTCCCGCCGCTGCTCCCTCATCCCAGCGCTGCCTGCACCCCGCCAGAGGGGACCGGGGAGGCTGAGCAGCGCCGCACGCCATGAAGCAGCGGTGAGAGGCGCTCTGGAGAGGAAAATCCTGGAGTAAGGAGCTCTTCTGGAGGTTCACTCAGGGGTAAGTGCTGCTTACCCCTCGGCAGCTGCTAAGGCATGGTTCTTCTCCTTGGTGGGGTGGTATATTTGGCGGTTTTTCAGCCATCCCCAGGTTTGCATCACTCTTAGGAAAGCTGCCGGCTTGCTCAGCCCGTGGGCTCCTCCTGGAGCTGATGCACCGCAGCTGTCACAGGAGCACTCCTGTCCCCATCACTACAGAGGAACTAAACCCATTCAGTGTATTTATTTCCCCTGTTGCCTCAGCGTGGGTTTTGGATTTGGTGCCTCGGAATTGCTGCAGCAGCAGAGTGATGGGATGGGAGCAGGATGGCACGAGAAGCAGTGCCCCAAGGAGGGCATGTGGTGGTTTTTCGGAAGATGTATCAGCACAAGGAGGTGGGGGCATCAATGGGACCTTGCAAGGAACGTGCTGAGGGGGCATCTCAGTGCCCCTTTCCTGCTGGTAGGGCTAGGGGATGTTGGATAGCTGCCCTCACCCCTCCTGCCCCAAGGTGAGGTAGGATGAACCCAGCAGAGGTGTTCAGCTATGCCATCTCAGGTCCTGCTGCCAGGCATGTCCCACTCCTCCGGGGTGGGCCGGCATGTGGCTCTAAGGATAATCCTCATCCTCTTGTGGTCATCCACAGAGAGGGAAATTAGCCAAACAGCAGCTTTTCCCCTAAGGGAAAGGGCTCTCCAGCCATGCATGGAGTCACTGTCCCCCTCCACAGCTCCTGTCTGCTCTCCCTCCTGCCTTCCCCAGCCCTTTCCCCCTGCAGCCCCAGTTGCCCTGAGCCTCCTGAGACGTGCTGAGGGGGCGGCTATGACTAGTCTGGAGACACCCTGCCACCATCCCGCTGGGCTCAGCTGAGCCCTCCCTTCCCAAGCAGAGCTGGGGCGAGAGATGCTTGTGGCCAAACTGGTTTCCTGACCAAGCAGAAGGGCCAAAAGTGGCTGGAATGGGGGTAGCCAAAGCCCCTCTGGTTCCAGTGAGTGCAATGGGAAACTCTCTGCTCATTTCTGGTTGCTGCGATGATTCATGTGCACGCTCTTGGGGGAGAGGAATCTTTCCTGTGTTTTTCAAAATTTTGGCTTTGCCCCATTCCTTGCTGGTTTGGGGAAAAAAAAAAATCATTATTTGTGGTTGGGTAATTATGGTGCTTATATAGTGATATGTATTATATTTGTTCTGGGGCACAAATGCCCAGTTTAGGAGGTTTGTAGAGAGATGCCTCCAGACTAAGGCTGTTGCAGGGAGCTGGAGAATTCCTCCAAGGTCATGCAAGAATGCAGTGGTGGCAGAGGAGAGACTCAACTCCACTTCTCCCTGGCACCATCCCTTCAGTCAGAGCTCAGGCAAACAGGCTTTTCATCCCCAAACTTTCCTGGTCTTTGCAGAGGGGCTGACCATGAGCAGGGCTGTGCCAGTGTTTAAGACAGGAGTGCAGGGCTGTGTGCTTGCTGCCACCACACCACGGTTCATTCATTCCCTTTCCAGTTTCCAGCACCCTCCCCAGTCCCCTTTCTGGTTTTTCAAACATCTCTACGACTTTCCATTCAAACTCAGTAACTTTCCCTGATTCCGGGGTGAGCTAAACCAGCCCCTGCTTTATTCCCACATGTCAAGGAGGGGGGAAGAATTTTTTTAAAAAAATCACGTTCCTCCTCTACTTTTGCTACGTGCCTGTCCAGGAACAGGAGGGAACATCCTATTCCTTCCACCAGCACAAGCTATGGTAAGTGCACAGCCTTGCCAGCCTTGGATTGTGTTCCCCACAGGATTTGCAGCAGAGGGGTGAGCCTGCCCTGTGCTGGGCGTGCACAGCGCCGGGTGGCACTGTGTGCCTGCTCCTTGCCCTGAATCACAGCCAGCCTTACTTACCCCTCCACATGCCCATCACTTTTTCCACCTTTTTAAGTGATCTGTGTTCCACATTAAGGAGCTGATTTGTTTGGGTGGGGAGGCTCCGGGAGGCTCTGGTTACTATACATAAAGAGTCATTGATCTTCGAGGGAGTTTCCTCTTTTTTTTTTATTTTAGCAAATACTCCCTTTCCTCTTATTAACGACTCTATTTTGGTCTCAGTCTTTGGATGGAGAAAACAACTGTATTTTAAGCCAACAGCATGCTTAGAAGGACAGCAATGAATATGTGATTCATATTAAATTCTAGCACCCAGGGAACTTGCCTGGGTAGGACATGGAAGCACCATAACTCTATTGCTTTGCTGAACACTGGTTTTAAAAAATCAGAGCTCCAGTGGCTTGCAAAAGCAGGGAGATTTTTTTTCCATCCTTTCTGTCTTCTTTTTTTTTTTTCTTTAATGTCCAGGTCTGCCTTGGTAGGAATAAATTTTTTCAGGGGCAGCCCTCAACCCCACAAGCCTCACCTTCCCAGTAGCACTTGGCAGCAACGTTTACACTTCAAAAGAGCTGAGACAAATCTTAATGTCTCCACCTGGAGCCATGAATAAACCCAGGATCTGTCCTGTTCAGCCCATCCTGAGTCTCTGGAACCAGCTTGGCTTCTCCCAAGGGCTGTGGAACCAGGCAGAGAAGTGTTCTATTCTTCTGTGATGAAGGGGTGGCCAGGCATGGGACACTTCTGTCCCTTGAAAAGGTGACCAAGCTTCTTTTTTTTTTTTTTTTCACGGAAAAAACCATGGCATTCAGCCTCAGAATCCGGGAGTGGCTTTTGGCTAACGTTTTCCCCAGCTCAGGGAAATATGAGGGGGAATTCGTCCAGGCGGGAGAGGAGCATGCCTCGCCTCCAGAGGGCATTCTGTAGCTCCCTGGCTCCATCCACATCAGGATTTTGGGAGCTGCTTCTCCCAGCTGCTCACTCCACAGCCATGACTGCAATCACATCCCACTGCTGGGGATGCAAAATAAATTTAGTTTTTCTGGGTGCCTGGTGTCCACTCCCAAGCCACTGGCAGGGCTTACAGCTGCTGTGGATGCAGAGAACAGCCAAGCTAAGGGAATTTGAGGCTGAGCAGTTTTGTTGGGAAAATCCCCACAAAGCAAATGCAGGTGAAGGCAGAAACTTCTTTTTTTTTGGCTCTGACATCCCCATGAGAGACTTCTGGAGAAGTCTAGAGTATTCTCACAGCATCCTGCACCAGCTGTGTGATGATGCTTTGCTCTCCCTGTCCCCCTTTCAGAAAAGCTGTTGAGACCCAGCTGCAAATGCACTTCTTTTTCCATGAGAAAAGCATGATCCACCCCTCATGCACAAGGGAATTTAAGAGCTGCAATTGCTCCTCAGGTTTTTAGTCAATATATTTTTTGTGGATGCTGCATGGCTGGGCAGGAAAACTGGAGCACATATCCTGTGATTTGGGGTAGTGGGGCATCCCAAATGTCCCTGGGAGTGCCAGCTGGGAAAGCTGCACAAGGCCAAGCCCAAATCCAGGCCATTTGTCCCCAGAAAATGTGCCAGTCGTGGCTCTGCCTACCATGCTTGCCATGCTCTGCTCCTTCCCAGAGGCTGCTCAGCTTCCCAGCAGGAATGTGTCACAGGAACAGGGAGATTATGGGAACAAATGTCATAAATGCAATCACAAAATGGTTTGGGTTGGAAGGGACATTAAAAAGCATTTTGTTCCAGTCCCTTTCAACACTTGCAGGGATGGGGAAGCCACAGCTTCTCTGGGCACTCTGTGCCAGGGCCTCACCACTCTCACAGGGAAGAAATTTCTTCCCGTTATCCCATCTATTCTATTTTAACTACACTCTAGTGAAAAAAACCCACCCCAACACAAGCAAACAAGAGCTTAGAAAGTGAATTTAAAACATCCACTCGAAGGAAAAAAAAATATGTAAAAAGTCAAGTTTTATGCGCAGAGAAGTATGCAATATATGCAAAAAATAGCTGCTGGGGAAAATATTTAAGGAAATCACTTCATTGTGTCGGAGGTAGAAATGATTGCTTTTTGAGAGCAGTATTAGGAACAGATGTATTGCTTCTGATGAAATACTGTAATATTAAGAGGTCAGCACAGACTATATAAACTCTAGACAGACATAAAACTTTCAGATTATTGAAGGCTACAGGAGTTAATCTCTTAGCACATGAATCATGAAGAAATTGGCTCCCCAGGCTTTGGTGCTAACTTAATTCAGGAAAACTCTTTCCTTTCCTAAAGGAAAGGTGTCAGGTTTTTCAGCATATTTTTCCAGCTTGAAATGGATATAGCAAAAGCTTCACCAGAGCTTTCACCCCACAGGCCTGCAAGGAACTTTTCATTTAAAAAATGAAATAAATCCACAATTAAATTGCCTTGTTGAAAATACATTATTGAAAACACAACAATGCCAGAGAATAAAGTTGCAACCCAAATGCTTACCTTAACCAAGTATTAAAATGATTTCACATCTCTGGTTTTATCATCCATCCCCTGCAAGCGGGTGCCACCTCCAGCCCCTGTGGCTGGTGGTAATTTGGGACTCAAAGCAAGAACACATTGAGCAACGGAAATTACTTCTTGTGCCTCGCTGAGGCAAGCCAAGCAATAAAAATCACATTATTCATTGTCTTAAACCCACTTTTCTCGCTGAACCAGAGACTTTGCTCCGTCAAAACAGAGCTGAGTGGAGTTTTGGGTGAACTCCCCCAACCAAGGAAAGAAAAATAAAGTTACCCCCACCTATCCAACCCTCACTATATTACCTTTACAAAAAAAGTTGCTGTCCTTGCTGCATCTTCTTCTACAGGAAAATCATCTCCTTGCCCACCCCTTTCTGCAAGCACTGAAGTATTCCTCATTAGCTAATGAGTGTCATGGAGAGGGGGCTATAAGAGAAAATGCTGCTCAGGAGCAGCTCTTCTTAAAATCTCCTCTTTTCCTTAAGTTGTCAATCTCTAAGAGACATCCATCACCTCTTCCTAAAGACTTTGCTGCCTTTTTCCTTCTGATGGCTGATCCTGGCTCCTATGACTTTAGGATGGTTTTGTGTGATGCTGACACTCATCTCTTGTTGATGGACAAGTCCCCCTGCTTGCACAGAACTATAAATACCGTGATGGAGGTCACAGAGAAAGCTGGAGATAGATCTGGAGGCCTCCTAAAAGATAAAATGGGGAATGAGGTGAAATCCCTGGAGGTGTCCCAGGAACACCTGGATGTGGCACTCGGTACTCTGGGCTGAGTGACAAGGTGGGAATCAGTCCCCAGGTTGGACTCGGACTTGGAGGTCTTTTCCAACCTAAGAAATTCTGTGGAAAAATCTCAGCTTCCCACTGCTGTGGGAGTTCATGGGTGATCCTGTGGGCAGGGGGGATTCCACAGCCTCAGGGAGTTTCACTTTTCCCTCTGGCTGCATCTTGTGGCTGTAAACAGGCTCTGAGCAGCTGCTTGACATTAAAACCAAAAAAGCCCCCAAATGTTTGCTTCAGTCCTGTCACTTTTTAGCCAGCAAGACATCAATTTTCACTGGTTTATCTTGGTGCTCTGCTCATCCCCAGCTGTTGTGTCTGAGGAGGGATTGGCTGCCAGCAGCTAATAAACAGGATGATAACATAACTTCCTGCATTTTGGGAAAGAAATATGAGCAGCTTTACAGCACACATTACTTTAGTGGGCTGTTTTCCTTAGCATGCATTTTATTTCATGTTCTCCATTCAGTTCTAGCAGACTTTTCACTCTGTGACATCCCAACCTTAAGGGGAAGTGGGCTCCCAAGGTTTGTGGAGGCTCATGATTGAAAGAAAAGACAGAAGTGAGAGGGCCTGCAAAAGCTTAGAAAGTTTCATTAACAAATTACACACTTGGCATGGAATTGGGTGTGTTAATCACTGATCTCCCTGATCTCAGCATAAGCACGTGGCAATGGCTTTTGGATACAGGACAGAGTGAAAGGGAAGAGAGGGAGGGTGATGGATTAAAGTGGGAGAGACAGAAAGGAGGGAAGAAAGAGAGATCACCATTCCTGACTCCAGCATTGATCCAGCTGACGGGATATCCAGGGGCACAGATGCACCTGGGCTACATGGCTGTACCTTTTATAGCTACATTTTCCCCTCCCTGGAGAAAAAATTGTCACTTTTAATGTAAATTAGCCAACAAATTTTTCCTAGTTTTCCCATTTCTTGAAATGGGTCAAGGGGCTCTGGACGCCTTCCTGCTTCTCAACACCATCCCTGTGCTGTGCTTATCCCCCTAGCCAGAATAAGGAAGTTTATCCCATAAAATGCTTCCCTGCCTCCATGTGGCCTCTTCTCCAGCCACATTCTGCCCTTTCCCAGGGTGGGTTACTGCCAATGATCCTTGGTTGTTATCACCAGCAATCCTTGATTGGTTCCACAGCTGTGAGGATTTGAGACGTGCACATCTCGAATCAGAGAACCATGGGATATCCTGAGCTGGAAGGAAGCCACAAGGATCGTCAAAATCCAACTCCTGGCCCTGCACAGGGCACCCCAACAACCCCACCCTATGCCTGAGAGGATTGTCCAGCACTTTAGGCTCTTCTAGGCTTCTATACAATCCCAAAGGATGCTGCAAAGTGAATCCCACTCAAAAACTTGCAGCTCTTCCATAAATTTCTTCCCTGAGGGAAGACTCTCCCATGGGGTTGGGTGGGTGGTTGTCATGAGCTTGGTGCTTTTTGCAGAAAAAAAGGTCTAGGACCTACAGACCCTTCTGTATTTGAAACTATTTTTTGGGTGAAACCATTTTTTCTGGGAGCAAGATGCCCACCAGGGACACAATCCATCCGAGCAGGTTTGCTCCTGCTGGAGGCACTGGGAGGTTTGGCTTGCACTGGGATATCCAGGGGGATGGATGGCTGCCAACTCACAAAGGTGATGGTTTAATCTCTTCAGGAGTGACAATGATACCTCTGGGCTGCTGCAGCTGCCTCTATAAATTGAGGGGTTGCCAATAATAGGGAAGACTTTGCCATGTCTTGATTAACATTGTGCGCTGGCTCTGGGGCCCTGTTCAATGTCTCTCAATTTATTATTATTATTATTATTATTATTATTATTATTATTATCATTATCATTATCATCATCATCATCATCATTACTATTACTATTACTATTACTATTACTATTACTATTATTTTGGGGAAAAGGCAGAGGAGAGCTTTTCCCACACTCATGCTATAAGACAGTAATAAATCCCACCTGGAGCACAGGAAAGACCAAATGCTGCAAATCTCTTCTCCCAAAAGAGACCAAACCCCAGCCCAGCTTTGACACAAAGGGAGGCAGAGGAAGTGTCAGGCTCACACTGGATTTCAGGAAACCAGGTGGAAGTTGTTCCTTCCTTTCCACAGAACTGCCCTCTGATATCCCTGAGGAGTGTCTCTACAGCAGAAGTGGGATTAGCTCCTTATGTCCAGATGTTCCCATATTCCCAACTCTTGGTTCTGTTTCCTGCCATACCAGCAATAACCATCAGTGTAATTACCACAGTTTTCCTCAAGAATAATAGTTACTCTTCCCTTTAGCCCTTTTAGGCTCTTGTTTTGGTTGTAACTGTCTGGACTGATGGAATTGGCAAGGATGCTAACAAGAAAATGGAATCACTTTTTTTTTTTTTCCCCTTTTATGATGACCTGGTTAACAGTTTGATGTATTGGAGTCACTTTCGGCTGATTTGAGTAATTGATCCCCTCTGGGGAACGAAAGGTATTAAATCACTGTGTTCCCTTCTGGGAGGATATTTTCCCAGTTAAGCAAGCCTTGCTGCTTTCTGCTCTGTGGGCTTGGAAATGAGGATTAAGTAATAAATTGGTCATCTCTATGACAACAGAAACACAGCCTTCATGGCAGAGACGTTGTTTCAGAAGGCTTGCCAGGTGGATCACAGGTAAGAAACTTGCTTAAATTATATTTTTGGCTCCAGCAGATAAAATATTATTCTTGGTGCCTTTCCAAAATATGATCAGCCCAGTGCAGGCTATTCCACAACCGGGGCTCTGAGCCTGGGGGAGTCCAAGGGCTTTTTGCTGTGCAGCCAGATCATGTGGCTCACTTGGGCCTAGAGTGCCTAAATTTCCATTTGTATATTTGGGACAGCTGAAAAGGTGAGCTGAGGCAAGGGGGAATGTTCAGGGCAGTTATTGTGGTGCTTGGAAGAAATAAAGTGAGAAAAGGCAACAGCAAGAGGAAGTGTGTTGGCAGAGATGTATCAACTGGTCATCCATGAATAGGGAGGGCAGGTGGGAGGCCACTGTCTATTTTGGTAGAGAAACCTAAGCTTTTTCCTATGTATTACATATTGCCTGGGACAGCACAGGTAAAAAAAAAGTCATCTCATTCCACAGAGGTGATTGAAGGTCAGTTATGTGAATTGTCACTCTGTCTAGCAGCAAAAAAATTTTTTTTCCTGCCAAAGTGCCACAAAAGCCTTGTAAAACCACATGGTGTGGCTTTTCTATGTTGTGCCTCATCTGTGCCTGGCTAGCACTGCTGCTATTTCTCACTCTTCCTGTTTTCCTCCCCTTAGGTCTCACGTCAGGTGCTGAAACAAAAGAGAATAAAAGGAAAACTCCTAAAAGAGCAAAATGAGGAAACATCGGCATTTGCCCCTGGTGGCAATGTTCTGCCTCCTGCTCTCGGGCTTTGGCTTGGTTGGTGCTCAGCAGCAAGCAGGTAAGAGCCCGGGCTGCTTCACCTGACTTTGGCCCTGTACAAGCACTCCCTGGCACTGTTTGGTGTTTGACATGCATGTCCGTGGGATGTTGTGGATGGATGTGTTCTGCTCCTCAGCTCCCACCTTGCTGAGGCTCCCTGGGACACGGGCCTTGGCCAACACTCACGGTGCCTCCCCAAGCATGACACTGGCTGGTGCTGTGCCATGGAGGATGCTCTGCAGGGCACCAGGGTGTGGGACCTGCACTCAGGGTGGTCCTGAGAGGGTCTTCTCCTGGGAAGAGCTGTTCTGCCCTCCCTGCATGTGCAGGAGAGCTTTTAGCAGTGAGAAGAGCACTGCCACTGACCTGCAGAAAGGCTGTTTGGTGGTGCTGGTGCCTTTGGGACCAGATCTGCTGTCACCAAGTGTGACAGCAGGAAAAATGCAGAAAACTCATGCCAGCACCCAGGCTGCTTAAACCCAGCTGTCCTTCCTTCCTTGAGCATTACCATGGAGCTAGCAAAGACCATGCAAGAGACACGGGCAGCTGGAGGCTGAATGAGCCTGAACTAACAGGTGAAGCTGCCAGGGTCTCTGTCTGGCTCAGGGCTGTGTCCAAACCCATGGGCAAGGGTGTAGGAGGGCAGGAGCACCTCGGCTCCCTCTCTCTGGGCAGGGCAGGTGGCATGCTGTCCCCCAGCACCTGCAGGGCTCTGGCGGCTGCGTGGTTGTTCTCCAGTGCTTCTCATTTTGCTGCGGGCGATAAGGGGAAGCTGAGCTTCACTTTCACCGTGCCAAGGAGGCTGTTGGTTGTTTGGGTGAGGAGGAGGAGGAGGCATGCTTGTGCTGACCGATAGAAAATCCTAAACCCCCATCTGTTTTTTTAAAGCTGTCAAAACCATTGCCGCGGCTGATATAATATTTCTAGTGGATTCCTCCTGGAGCGTTGGGAAGGAACACTTCCAACTCGTTCGAGAGTTTCTGTATGATGTTGTAAAGGCTTTAGATGTGGGAGGAAATGATTTTCGCTTTGCCCTGGTCCAGTTCAGCGGAAACCCCCGCACAGAGTTCCAGTTAAATACCTTCCCCTCCACCCAGGACGTCCTGTCCCACATTGCCAACATGACTTACGTGGGGGGAGGCGCCGAGCCCGGAAAAGGATTAGAGTACCTAATCGAGAAGCACCTCACTAAAGCTGCGGGAAGCAGAGCCAGTGAAGGCGTGCCCCAGGTTATTGTAGTGCTGACAGATGGACAGCCCCGGGATGATGTGGCTCTGCCCTCATCTCTCCTTAACTCGGCCCGTGTAAACCTGTTTGCGGTCGGCGTTGAGGAGCCGGTGGAAGGGCAGTTGCGGGAAGTAGCGAGCGGACCCCTCGATGCGCACCGCTTCAACCTGGAGAATTTTACCGCTCTCCACGGCATAGTTGGGGACTTAGTGGCGAGTGTCCGCTCCTCCATGACTCCAGAAAAGGCTGGGGCCAAAGGACTGGTTAAAGACATCACAGGTAATGCCTGGCTGGTGGTATCTGCTGACGCTGCGCTGTTTGGCATTGCCACTCTGGAGGGGCAAGACTGAGATGGACGTTCAGAGGTGTAAAAATAAAGGTTTGAAGCGTGTGGCCCCGTGTTTGCAGCTGCTGAGGTGCTGTTTGCAGACTGAGCCAGGGCTGCCAGGAGTCAGGGCAGGAATCCTTGAGTGGGCAGTGGCACCTTGTGGCCATCCTCTGGCACAAATGGCACGGAAATTCAAGCGTAGGGAGCTCTGCAGAGTTAGCAAATTGCCGTGTCCTGTTTACTCCCAAGGTGGGGAAACAGAGGGTGAACACACCAGACCTGGTGGTGACCCTGACTGAAAATCCTCTGGAGACTGAGAAGGTTGCTGCTGGTTGTGGGGACAGCATGATGGATGTCCCCTTAGAACCAGGTAGGGGGACAGGGAGATGTGCAGTGTGCCATTCCAGAAAGCCACACTCTTGGGCAGTGTGCCATTCCAGAAAGTCACACTCTTGGGCAGTGTGCCATTCTAGGAAGTCACATTCTTGGTGAAGACAGCAAAAGAAGCTGGGTGGGGAATTTCTCTGCTGAAAGCCCACCTCTGAGCTGTCCCTTAACCTCTCTCCTCATGCACCTGGAGAAGGTGTGTTGTTGAAAAGTCTTCTCTACAAGCCCATGGCTTCCGCCTGCTGGAGCACTGGACCCTACCCATAACTGAAACCTCCCTGCAAACCACGTTGGCTTCAATGGATCTGCACTGACTGCAACACAGGGCCCAATTTCCCTGAAAAAAAACAAACCCAAACCAATCTTCCTCCACCCCTTCTCTGTTTATGAAATTCCAGCATGGCAAGAGCCTTCTGAGCAGCTTTGTTGTTTTTCAAAACAGAAGTCCTGGGGATCAAACCTTTCTTTTTATTCCTGAGGCTCCATCTGAAGGTCGAGAGCTTGTGGGGCGACGTAAGGCCACAGCAGTGTGATGAGGCAGTGTGACATTAATCCCCCTGTGTTGTCTTGCCTGATTAACCCTCACGCCAGTGCCACTGGGTGCTCTCCATCACTGCATGGCACCGAGCAACACCAAGAGGCCGTGCTCATGTGTGTTTTTTGTCGTGCAAAGCGCTTGACAGGGCAAATATCCAGGTCACAGGAAAGCCACAGGGGGGTAGCTGCCCCACAAATGCAGCAAAAGGCTCTCCAATGCTAAGGAGATGACACCAATATTGGTGGAAAATCAATGTTACACCCAACCTGCTGGCAGCACTCTGGTGGCTGTTGGGCATCTTAGCCATGAAGGACTCCAGTGAAATTCCCTGTTGAAATCAATTGGGAAATTGGTCTCTGGAAGCTGGTTGTCCTCCTCTGGGCCATGCCAGCAGGTAACCCCATTGAATGGAAACATCTGGAACCACAGACATTCCCTTAAAAGCTTTAAAGCCAAATTCCTACTTTGTGTATTTTGTGCATTTACAAGTTTGTTTCTGCTTAAAGGTATTTTTTGCAAGCATTTCCTTCCCATATTACACAAATTTAAGTTAATCCTACTGTTGTAATGTTGTCCCTGTGTGACTTGCATGGGTGATATACAGAGTATTGTTAAACATGGGAAAAGATGTTACAGGTCCTAAACCTTGGACAACAACAGTGTGCAAAACATGGTACAAATATCTGCATAAGAGTTTAAAAAGTAATTTATTCATCTGATTACTAGATGTGGCATTAAAATATCTAAAAATGCCATTGATGCTATGTTAGAAATGAGCCCTAATATGAAATGGAAGTGTAAAAAAGCCCCAGTCCTGTAGTGGTTCTAGTAAAGAGAACCAGAACTGCTGGTCTGTGGCAGTCACTGGAGCTGACTCACGTAAGTACAACAGTCAGCCCCGAGTTTGCCCTGAAGTATTTGTTAAATCTGACCTGTCTGTCTCATCTGACCCTCCTCGCTTAGTTGTATAACCAGCATGCTTTTTATTTGTTCTCCACACCAGCTTGTTCCATAAATGTGCACTGAAGTACAAGGTTTTTTTTACAGTGATGACAAATTATCCAACGCATCTGTTTCATATCTATTTTCTCTTCCGTGGGAGCAACCCATTAGTGCCTGGAATCTTGTTCCTCCAAAAAAGATATCCAGGATTATCTAAAGTATCCCTGGGTAAAACCACCGTGAGGTTTCTCTTTCATTTTTACGATGAAGTGGAATGTGTACATCCCAACTGAAAATTACTCAGTAAAATCAAGCCTAAGCAGCCCTGAATTTTGCCTCCATGGAAAAATAAATCCTGGAGCTCCTTGAAATTCTGTACCCTGGTGATTTCCTCTGAGCCAACACTGGCCATTGAGTTGGTCCAGGGCAGTGATGGTGACTTGGAGACCTTCTCCATTGTCACTGGAATTGCAGCATTACCTTAATCTCCCGGTTTATGAAAACATGTACTAGAAAAACAACTAAATAGGCAATAAATAAATATTTTACTGGCAGTGCTGGTTAACAGCAAAGATCTCAAGTTTATTCCTAGCCTTGCTAAACCGCACACCAGCTTTGCTGTTGGTTTCACCTTTGGCTTTCCAAAGTTGAGAGCTGACAGAGAGATTTCCAAATTTTCCTTGTCAGTCATTTGAAAATAGTCTGAAATTTGAGTTCTTAATGTGAGTGGAGAGTACCAGCATGGAAAAATCTGAGCATGCTTTGGGGTTTTTCCCCCCACTCCTCTTTTTTGCATGCATACAGCTCTTGACGATGTTGATGGTAACATTAGTTGAGCAAAAGGAGTAAGAGCAGACACCAGGGCATTTTGGGTCTGCTTTGATAAGTCTCAAAAATACTGCCCCTCAAAACCAGGTTCATGCCATGTGCAAGCTTTGTTTGATGTGTGCATATCTCAGCAAATGTTGTGATCATCTGGGTAGGGTCACAACAACTAGAGTTGGATAATTTTGTCATGACTGATTTCATCACCCTATTTTAACCTGATTCTGCATTCCTTGATTGAATACCCAGAATCCATATGAAAAGTACAAACCAGACCCCTCTGGCAACGATCAACCCATCTTTGTGCAAAATGTTTAAAGTGGCACAATTTTTGCGTGGCCTGGGTTGAGAACCGTGTGGGTCAGCCTGCTAGAGACATAACTTCAGGTGGATGCTGGCAACTGGTCAAAGAGTTACAGTCAAGGAAAAATAACTAAAACCTTTTCAATTGTTTCTAACAAATGTGTTTTAAGTAATATTTATTCATGGTGGAGAAGCCCATAGATTCAGCTTCTGTGTTTAACCAGCAAAAGAGCAGAATTGTGACAGAGAAGCTGAAATTTTCCCTTCATCCAGTAAATGCTGGCTTTTTTCCTCCCAAAAAATAGAAGGCAGCAATGATGAAAACCTCCTCACCTTCTACCTTCACTGTGAATTGCCACCAAATTCCACTTTTTTTCTTTTGGCTCTGTCTAAATATTTGGACAGTACAGGCCACTGATGGAATGTACCTAGATTTCCAAAAACTGTATTTTGCTGAGGAGTTTTCTCCTTGCATGCCAGTAATGCTGACCACATGTTACTACAGCCACTGGCTCATGTTGTGTCCACTCAAGCCCTCCCTTGATGGGCTGTGGATGCTGCTGGGAAGGGCTTGAGAGCTCATATTCAATCAGAATGCAGAACTAAGAGGCAAAAGTCATCTCCTCAGTGATCATGTTGTTTTGTTTTCTCATTTTCGTGTTTCTCACTGGTTTTCCAAGAAACATGTCAGAACACTGTTACAACTGCATGTAATCACCCATTTTAATGCTTTCACCTTTTGCATTTCTTTTTTTTAAAGCTCAAGAGTCCGCTGACCTAATTTTCCTTATTGACGGATCAAACAACATCGGAGGTGTCAATTTTCCAGCCATACGCGATTTCCTTGTAAATTTGATTGAGAGCCTCAGAGTTGGAGCTCAGCAGATACACATTGGGGTGGTGCAGTATAGTGATCAACCCAGAACCGAGTTCTCTTTGAGCAGCTACTCCACAAAGGCGGATGTCCTGGATGCCGTGAAGGCACTCGGATTCCGCGGGGGCGAGGAGGCGAACACCGGTGCGGCACTGGAGTTCGTGGTGGAGAACCTCTTCACCCAGGCGGGAGGCAGCAGGATAGAGGAAGCGGTGCCTCAGATTTTAGTGCTGATAAGTGGTGGAGAGTCTAGTGATGATATCCGAGAGGGCTTGTTAGCGGTGAAGCAAGCTGGTATATTTTCGTTTAGCATTGGGGTCCTGAATGCTGACAGTGCAGAGCTGCAGCAGATTGCTACTGATGGAAGCTTCGCCTATACTGCCCTGGATATCCGTAACCTTGATGCTCTTCAAGAATTATTACTGCCCAACATTGTTGGAGTGGCCCAAAGACTCATTTTGTTAGCGGCCCCAACCATTGTGACTGAAGGTATGTATGCCTTTCTAGACCCTTGCATTTCAGTGAATCCATGAATGATTAAGCTTTTGCACACTTTACAAGCATATTTAAAGCTTTAAATATTCTTAACTTTTTTTCCCAGTTAATTTCTCTGGTCTGGTTATGGAGAAGCAGTGTTTCTGTGCAGAAACTCACTAACCCACTGAGTTATCTCTCAAAAACCATGAGATCTTGTTACAATAACTGGCATGACATATGGGGTGTTTTAAAAGACAGGAGCAGAGTATAAAAAAAAGGGGTATAATAAAAAAACTCACATAATCCTTATTGAGGTATCTAAGCACCCTGGGAGTAAACACTGCAGCACTGCCAGTTGTAAAAATATTTATGCCAAGTAAGCTTACATTATATGTCAGTTGAAGTGTCATGACCATAAAATGTGGCTGAGGAAGGCATCAGGAATGCTAAATGGATCCCTGTGTACCAGACTTGAAATTATCTCCTTGCTAAAAGAGTAAAATTCTACAACTCACTGAAGCTCTGCGCTGCCCTTGGTAAAAGGGTGACATTCCTGTGTTGTTGAACTTAAAAACTGAACAGCCCTTTGTTCTTCTGAGTGAAATCCTTACTTTTGATTCATCATCTAAGTTTACTGTTTCCATGAGGCTATGGGAATTAAAAATGCAGGTGTTAATATTCCACTTAGGTTACTTTGTCACCCATAAGTCCCATTGGCATTACTTCTGGACTAGCATCAACTCAGGTGTGGTAGAATAATGAATATCTGGATTTATGGGGCTAATAGGTGATTTATGAAAGACACAATATGACATATTGCAGAGGCCTCTAGAAGGGGCCAGCCTGGAGCTGCTGCACTTAATTAACAGGATGCTTAATGCAAACAGCACTTGTGGGATCCCCTTGTCAGTCTGGAGTTCTGTACACACTGTTCCTCATGGTGTATGTTGACATATAAAACTGCATTCCAGATGTCTTTGCTGATCCATGCCTAAGCATGGTTGCTATCCTGTGGCTCAAATCAAAGGGAGGAATTTGCCTTAAAGATCATTTTATGACCTTGCCTTGATTATTCCAGGAAAGAACATGAAGAACTTCTTCTTGTAGCACCCTACAAGAGCCATATTTAGCCAACTAATACGAAGTCAGCATGTGTAGCTAAAATGTGAATGCTGGGATCCATGCAACTCAGTGGAAAATCTCTCTTTCCTCTTGTCTGATTTTTAACAGTTTGAATGGCAAGATTAAAAAATTTTGGTACCTTTTTTTTTTCATCTCCACTTGTATATTTCTCACTTAAAGTTCCAGCTCATTTGTGGAAGGTGCTACGTCAGCCTGTACAGTTACATACAGATGGATGTTAAATGGGGAAGTAGATTATTTCCAAAGGATCTTTAGGGAATTTCCTTCCCCTGACACCCATGGAAATAAATTTTGACTGGTTTGCTTGATTGACATCGACAACTTGGAAGGCTGCAGTGCAAAGCAGTTTGGGAGACACTGCAGCCCAAAAGGGATGCCAAACCCTCTGAGGTGCCAAGTGCTCCTATGAAATGCTGAAGTCATCTCGCTTCACTTTAGCTTGCCAGCTGTTCATCCTGGGCTGAAGGGGTGTTCCAAAGTGGCTTTCTGCTCCTTTACCCACTGGATGAAGGAGTTAGATGAGGATGGAGTTAGATGAGGAGCTTCACCAGACAGCTGACATGGCAATGAGGATGGAGCTATGCAGGGCTGGGTTCAGCGCTGACACCCTCCAACATTCCCAGCTTTGAGAGTCAAAGATACAATGCTTTGATCCCAAATCCTTTGAAATTCTTGGGAGGCTTGCCATCAGCTTTACAGGGCTTTGGATTAAGCCCTATGAGATGTGCACAGCCCTGCTCAAAGGCTTTTGCATTAATTGTGTCCATGCAAAGCACAACCATGGGTTGTTTCTTCCTGTGTGTTTTGGGTTTGATTCTTGTATTCCTCTGAGGGAAAAGTACTGCAGGATTTGAGAGCTGCAACAGGAATGAGAAGCTGGGGAACTCTTACTTCCCAGCCTCCCTCATCTTTCCAAAGCCCCTTTGATGTTTCCCCCAAAAGTCAAAAGTTTCCAGGCTCTCCACTTTTGAGTTTCTAGCTGCTGGGATGTGCTTTGGACATTTCTCCTGGGTCACACAAAGCAGAGATTTCAGCCCTTGCTATCCATTTGGAAAGTTTCCTGTTTTCAGCCCTCTCCTCCTTGGAGTAACTGAGGAGGAAAAAAACCTGGCTGGAGGGATGAGTGCTGGAAATCATGGCTCTGGGAAAGGGATCATTTACACAAACCCTTATTGCTTTGTGTGTAGCTCTGTTCTGACAGCCTGGGCAGCCAATTGCAGACCACTGTCAGCTCACTTGAGGCTGTGGCTTGAGGAGGGCACCACCACGTTTGCTTTGTGCATGTCCTCACCATTTTATGCCTGACAGCACCATGGCAGGCAATTTTAAACTTCCATTTTTTACGATTGGTCCTTAATTATACTATTTCTAGCATGACTCCGTGAGAGGGGTGTTTGCAAAGGTGCTGCAAGGCTGGCAGATCTTTCAGGATCTGGGGGCAGAGGGGCAGCTGAGTCTCAAATGTCACCCCCAGCTCCAAGTCACCCCTCGGGGCAGCCCAGTCTCATGGCACTCACCCCTAGTGAGAAACCTGACAGCACCCAGCCTTTGGGAGCACGGCTATCCATGGCCAGCTGGTGGCTGGCCAAGGAGGACTGCAGCCAAAGTTTTGTTCTTTGTTGAAGTCCAAAGTAAACAGACTCCATGCAGAGGAGCCCTGATGGGCTGGGGGCTGCTTTGCTCCATCCAGGCAGGGCAAGGCAGTGTTTGCTACCGCTTGCCCTGGGGGTGTGAGATCCCCGTGGGAGCAGGCAGTAAGCCTGGGACGTGATGGACCTGCCTCCTTGAATCCTGAACCCATATCAGGAGGCCTTAGATGGGTGGGTGATCTAAGGATACCCCAAATCCAACATAACACCATGATTCATGGTGCTCCAGCATGACTTGGAAGCAGCACAAAGTTTCCTTTCTCACGTCAATGGCATGAAATCAGGGAGGTGATGATGTGAGAGGATTTGTCTAAAAGATGGTATCAAGGTTAGGCATCATGATAATCATGTATAATGCTGTTATCACAATCATTTTGGTCTTGTTAATATCTACCTTTTAAGAAAATATATTTGCTGTATTAAATATCATGATGCTTTGGTTCCAATGCCACAAAACAGGGTTTTTTTCCTCCCTGACTATATCTTTCTTCAAACTTAGCAAGGGCACTGGAAAGCTAGTTTTACCTTTTCTGTGTCCTGTGCCATCATCAATAATAAAGTTTTGGAAGTTACAAGCCAAGAAACCTGTTTGTTAAAGACATGGCCACCAGAACATAATCCAGCTCATCCATGACTGGGCCAGCCGTGCCAAGAGAAACCGTAACTTGTTTTTGTTAGAAAAGGAATAAGATTTAGAATGCAAAGACCCAAAATCCAGATATGTTGAGTAGGTGGAGACTACTTGTGTCATTGTTCTCAGGAACCTAATCCTTCTCACACCAAACCACCACCATTCAGGGGGTTCCTCTGCAGATGGAAGGAGCATCACCTTCTTATTTTATCTCATGTGCCCTCTGAGTGCCAAGATTTCTCCTTCCTGCTTTCCATTTATGCTTTGACGTGTACATATATTTTAATATTCAAGTGTGTAAAAAAATCACAGTTGTTGCAACTCTCCAAATCTTTGGTGTTTTAGAAAGGGGAAAGAGTCAGATTTTCTATTAGTCCTTTGCTGGAGTCTAAAAAAGTAATCTAGACCTTTTTAAAGGTGTTGAGAGTAACAGTACTCCACGTAAACGAGAGGTCCTGAACATTGCTGAGCTGTTGGCACAGAACCGATGCAGAGTGTTTTGAAGGCTAACATGATGTTCATGTGTTACTTGCAGTTATTGAAGTGAACAAGAAGGATATAGTCTTCCTGATAGATGGCTCAACTGCCTTGGGGGCTGCCCCCTTTAACGCAATCCGTGATTTCGTTGCCAAAATTGTCCAAAGGCTGGAGGTTGGACCCGAGCTGATCCAAGTGGCCGTGGCACAGTACGCAGACACTGTGAAGCCAGAGTTTTATTTTAACACCTACCAGACCAGGAAGGATGTGATGGCCAATGTGAGGAAGATGAAGCTCATGGGTGGCACGACACTCAACACTGGCTCGGCACTGGACTTTGTGAGGACCAACTTCTTCACCAGTGCTGCCGGGTGCCGGGTGGAGGAAGGGGTGCTCCCCATGCTGGTGCTCATCACTGGGGGTAAGTCCAGGGATGCTGTTGACCAAGCTGCAGCAGAGCTGAAGAGGAACAGAATAGTGACCCTTGCCGTTGGGTCGAGAAACGCTGACCTGGCAGAGCTTCAAGAAATTGCTCATGAACAAGATTTTGTGTTCAACCCGAACGACTTCCGCCTCCAGTTCATGCAAGCCATTCTTCCTGAAGTGCTGTCACCTATCCGGACACTCTCTGGAGGACTGCTCGTCCCAGAGCCACCCTCAGGTAATTAAAGGTCTTTTTCTAATTAAGGAGGTGTGGTTTATAAGTTTGCCTATTCTTATTCTGTGACATGTACAGATAATGGGGAAAACCATACCAAATGCATGTTCCAGCATGGTTAAATGTGAGTGCATGAACAGGTCAGTGAACTTGGTAGCGTGGTTGTTGTTACAGATTTATGGTTCCTTCCTGGAGATTTTTGTCCTGTTCTCATTTTGTCACCAACATTTAAAGGCCTGGATGATGTGGAAGATGTGCTTTAGTAGTTACGTACCCAAATTGTTCAGCGGAGGGTTTTGCTCTTCTTAGGGTTTATGTAGCCTATGAATGGGACACCTGTGAGTGTTAAAGTCTCTTCCTCAGTTTGGGAATTATCCATAGTGGGTGTTTGCTCAGGAAAGTAGAGGTTTCTTTGGAGTGTAAAGAGCAGAAGCCAGTTTGTTTTGTGGAGATGTTCAGAGCTAACATTGTTGGACCGAAACTCACTCTTCAGGAACATATTTAGTTTTCTTATGATTTACTCAGCTCAAGGCCTAAGAGGAATGCAAGAATATTTCAGTATTGATTTTAATTTAATCTGTTTGGAAGATGATCCAAAGCTCCACAAAGCCAGTGGACTCTTTTTAGTTGCCCTTGCCACTGACATCAGTAGACTTTGGAAGAAGCCAACTGATAGGGTCATGGCTTTTGAGGAAGTTCCCCCTGCATTTCAAGAGTTGTTCCAGGTGCACAGAGATTTTATATCAAATTAATCAGGATTTCTTCACAAAAGAGATGCTTGAGGTGAAATCCATGCTGCACTAGACCATATTTGAGCCTTGTATTTTTGTCTCATGGCATACGAGCATTAGAAAACCAGGATTTCTTCCAGCCCCCAGTAAGATCAATAGTGAGGTTCCCACTGGCTTAAGTAGCTGTTGAATTGTGTCCATCTTTTTTCTAGTTTCTCACGTAATTTAAAATTATAAACTGCAGTGGAAAATAAACAGAATGTTTGGAAAGAATCCTGAAAGAATTAAAGCATGTGTCTGATTTACATGAAAAGAAGACATTTTGAAATCAGTTTGCCAATACTTGTCCTTAATGAAGATGAATATCACAGGACCTATAATTTAATTAGCTTTGTTTCAGAGTGTGTCTGCAGCTAATACAGTTTTGCATGGCTATACACCAAAGCTGATGTGCTTATTTTTCAATGTAAATTAAAAATGTTCCTGTGTTTTCTCATTCTTCAAAGGTCATTCATGCAGCTTCTCTATTTTCCAGTCCTTTTTTTGTGCTTACAGCTATTCACACACACAATAAGCAAAGGATTGTATCCTACCCCTACAAATTATTATGTATAGCAACAAAACTGATTTTGACACTGGGCAGTTGCATTTTAACTGGCTATTGTCTCACCCTGGGCCTTGAATGGCACTTTTCTGGGAAAAATTTAAAATACAGAAAACCAAGACAATCTGTAAAATCTGAGAGCAATCCCTGTATTCCAAAGAGCCCTTTATTTCCTTTTTGTTCTGAATAGCTCAGTATTTATGTATTTTATATACAGAACAGCAAGTTTATAGGACAAGGCAAGCTAGAGGGTGGATGAATCTAGCCAGAAATGCTTTAAACATAAATATAATGGGCAGAATTAGCAATGGGCATAAATAAATTCTTGAATAATTCATTTGGAGGAAGGCATCTGGGGGGATGTCTTGGATGACATCAGTTCTCCAAGATTTTATTTAAAAACTTGGCATTTTGGTCTGTGATCTGGACATGTTTAGAGCAGAAAAAGAGCACAGGGTCATGACCCTGTGATGTCTTTGGGGTGTAGACCTACATCCTGGAGCTCAGATGCCTGGAGATAGCCCAGGAAGGATTTAACCTTAAAAATGGAACTAAGAGCTGCCAAAAGTGGGAAATTTCTCCCCCTTCAACATCCCACAAAACACATGTCTGTAACAACAGATAGTAAAGTGCAGAGCTCAAGAAGGCAGGTATCCTCAGGTAGCTGTTGAGCCTGACATTTAAAAGGGTTGCTGATCCTTCCCTGCCCAATTCAGTCATTTCCAGCAAACTCCTTGTTACTTCTGCGCTCATCACACCTTTGCTCCTCTCTCTCTCTCCACCCTAACACGGTCCACATGCGTGTACGGCGTACGCTGCATGCACACATGATAAAAATACAGTTTTCCATTTTTCGTTTTGTGCCATGTCTCACGTTGTTTTCTGTGCTCTACCGCAGTTCAAGTAACCAAAAGGGATATCATCTTTCTTTTGGACGGATCACTCAACGTCGGAAATGCCAACTTCCCCTTTGTGCGGGACTTTGTGGCCGGCCTAGTTAACTACCTTGATGTCGGCAGCGACAAAATGCGAGTGGGCTTAGTGCAATTTAGCGACACCCCCCAAACCGAGTTCTCCCTGTACTCCTACCAGACCAAAGCTGACATAATCCAGCGCCTGGGGCAGCTGAGGCCCAGGGGGGGCTCGGTGCTCAACACCGGCTCCGCGCTGAACTTTGTGCTCTCGAGTCACTTCACGGAGGCCGGTGGGAGCAGGATAAATGAACAAGTGCCCCAGGTGCTGGTCCTGGTGGCGGCAGGGAGCTCTGCCGATCCCTTCCTCCAAGTTTCCAATGAATTAGCTCGGGCCGGAGTGCTGACCTTTGCTGTGGGCGTTAGGAATGCGGATAAGGCAGAACTTGAGCAGATTGCCTTTAATCCAAGAATGGTGTATTTTGTGGATGATTTCAGTGCCCTGGCAGCTTTACCCCAGGAGTTAAATAAGCCCATAACAACATATGTTAGTGGAGGTGTGGAAGAGGTTCCACTCGCCCCAACAGGTAATGCCTACCTTCCTGCATGCTGACTGCATGAAGTTGATCTTGTTTAAGTGAATTTCTTGTTTCCACAGTACATGTGTCCAAGCCCTGAGTCATCAAAGTGGTTGTGGCTGTGCTTAACTTGATGATCTTTAAGGTCCCTTCCAAACCAAACCATGCTATGATTCTATGAATACATGGCTTGACACTGGCAGCACTTAATTTTATTCAAGTCATTGCTACCACACCTTAAAAGCACAGTTTTAAGTCTTTTGGTGTGTCAGGAACAAAGGAGGACCTGAGTGAGTCTCTGCCCACCAGTCACTGGCTCTGCTGTTCCCCTGCTGTTCCCATAAGAGGGTCACAACCTGTAAATACATCATGTGCACTAAATCAGGCAATGGGAATGTGAGATTTTGACCACAAGAAGTGGTGTGGAAAGGTAAAAATCATGCCAAAGAGCAAACAGGAGCAGAGGTCTAGCCAGGAACAGGTGGACAAATCCATCCCCAGAACCACTTGGTCAAAGTGATGTTATCAGGCTGTCAGAGAGGCTGGATTTGACTCCAGAAATTCAAAGCTATCCTCCAATATTAAACCCAAAGGCTTTTGGCAAGTTTAACCCTTTTTAAACAGGTCTTTTCTCACAAATTCCATTATTATGGCTATGTGCCCAGGAAGACATAGGAACAACTGGGATGGGTTAGTATGGAAAGGAGACCATTAAGATAAATATGAAGGTACAAGAGGCTTGGGTTTGCCTTGGGTATTCAATGAGATCAAAAGGGCATCAAATTGAAACAGGTGAAAGTCTTTTATGGATTTAGATGCTCCTTGTGATGCAAATGGGAGAAGATCCAGAAAATGCTTCGTGTCTATGTGCATGAACTGTCTATTTGTTGTCTACTGAGCTTTTAAATAGGAAAAAAGCCCCAGCCAACCATCCACTGCTGCTTTACTTCATGTCTGTATTGTCAACATATTGCTAGAGCTTAAACATCACTGAACCAGCCAATTCATGATGTGATACAATATATGATATTTCCTTCTGGTGCCTGAATTTATTGAGTCTTAGGATAGACATGTCCTTGCTTTCCCTTCTTCCTCAGATGCTGTATAGTTCTGCAGACTTTGAATACTTTGGTAAATAAGAATACTGAAAGAATGAAACCCAGCTAACTTGCAGACAATTTTCTAGGATGGCATACGAGAAGAAAAACCCTTTCATTTCTTTTTTTTCCCTCCCCTCCCCTTTTCATTTGTGAATTTATTCTAGAAAGCAAGAAGGATGTTTTATTCCTGATTGATGGCTCAGCCAACCTCTTGGGCATCTTCCCTGCCGTCCGGGATTTTGTACACAAAGTCATTTCTGACCTGAACGTGGGTCCCGACGCCACGCGAGTCGCCGTCGCGCAGTTCAGCGACACCATCCAAATTGAATTTGACTTTGACGAGTACTCATCCAAACAAGATATGCTTACCAAAGTGAAAAGGATGAAGATTAAAACTGGGAAGCAGCTGAACATCGGAGCTGCACTCGATGAGGCTGTAAGGAGGCTGTTTGTGAGGGAAGCTGGAAGCAGGATCGAAGAAGGGGTTCCTCAGTTTTTGGTCCTCCTCGTTGCTGGGAGATCGACCGACAATGTGGAGGAGCCATCAGATGTTCTGAAGCATGCTGGAGTGGTAACCTTTGGTATCAGAGCCAAAAATGCTGACCCTGTAGAGCTGGAAAGGATTGTTTACGCCCCACAATTCCTTCTGAACGTCGAATCCCTCCAGCGGATTTCAGAGCTTCAGCCAAGCATAGTCAACCTGCTGAGAACAGTCCAGCTTCAGCCAGCAGGTACAGGAAACCTCAGGGTTTCCAAGAGGCTGAAAGACATGACTTACATGCCCTGCTCAGTTGGTAACTGGAGCATCTGGGTCTGGTGGTGTTTAAAATGATTGTGTAGAAACTGCTGTTGTACTTGGAGTTTCCTCTGCTCACACTCTGATCTGGCGAAGCATTAAGTGCCAAACGAAATTTTGATGATAAGTGGGGGAAATGCTTTTGCTCAGCTGCAAGAGCTGCAGCTGATGCTGTTTCCAGTGTGTAGAACACGGGACAAACCTGAAATAACAGGACATTGTTGCCCCAGAGATGTTGCATTAATTGATGTGCAATGCTGGGCAAGAGATAAAAGAAGCAAATACTGGCTCGTCTCAATTTCTCTTTCCATCTTCCCTCTTCTGGAGGAGTGGATTCCGGCACACTGGATTCACTCTTGCTCTGCTGTCTCTTCCAGGATATGATGGCAGTTTCTACATTTTCTACAAACACATCAATAAATCAGATGCTCTTGACTCAGTTACCATTCAAACTCAGTAGATGAGATGGATTCATTGAAGAATAATTTTTAAAAGGTCTTCAAAAGAATTACATGGCCACAACAACAAATTCACACCGCAGTACTGGAAATCATGTGTGTTCAGCTGTGTGATTTCCTGAGGCAACCCTAATTGGATCATTAGCTTGTCTCCCAACAGGAGGTGGAAACAAGGAAAAGTGTAACGACATCCATCTCATCTCTCCCTAAAGGGGCAGATGGACTTAGAATCATAGAAACATGAAAAAGAAATAGGGCTGGAAGGAATCTCAGGGTGCCATCTGCTACACGCCCTTGTCCCCAGCAGGATCTTTTTGCCCAGAACTGGATTACGTTGATCTAATCTGTTCTGGAAACCCTTTGGGGGACACTTCCCAGATTCCATAGCCAATCTGCTCAGTTGCTTTTATCAGACAGCACTTTCCCTTCATGTCACACTTTTGCCTCCCTAGTCACAGTTCAAGTCTTCTACATCTCCTTCAACCTGAGGAGGACATAGATGTCAGCTTGCTCCCAAATGTTCATATTTTCATCTACGTTAGATAGATGAAAAGGTCTTAGATTTTTCTGCAGTCTTTTAATCTAATTTAGGCTTAACATGTTGGTCTTAGTCCTTGTGTCACCAGCTGTGTACCCAGCTCATTCAATCGTTCCTTGTAGGTCTTGTAGGTTTTCTTCTACATTTTCACTCTTGCCTCCCCATCATCAGCCTGCTCCAAATGTCCAGAGCGTGACAACGGCATCCCCTGCTCATCTCTTACCCCATCCTTTCCATGAGGATTCATGACCCTTCCCATATTTGTGCAGCTTCTGTCTCAAACAAGACTTGTGCAATCAGTGCTCTTGAATTCCATCCTCCCTTTTAAAACCATTTCTGTCTTGTCCAGACCGTTTGGAATTCCTTTGGCCACCAAGGACTATTAATAAATGTGCCATTTGCTCAGGGACAGCAGCATCCACCCAGTTTTCCTAGTATTCTTGGCTAAAAGACATCCATTCCATAAGAGCAACCATATTTTTTTTCTTCTTTATAATTTTTATCTTCTTCTTTTATCTTATCTTATCTTTATCTTCTTTTTCTTCTTTATTTTTTATTCTTCTTTATCTGCTACACAGGGATTTTTAATAGGACTTTCCCCTTGTTCCTGAAATTTAGAGAAAGTATATGCAACAGGGAAACACCAGGCAATGTCTGCTCCCTCTTCCCACCTATATTAATATTCCTCTCCTATGCAGGTTTCCAACAATCCTCTTAAGAAATATATTTGATCTGAAGTCTGCATTAAGAGTTCAACTGCCCTTGTTAACTCTTTACATGGCTAAGCATTCGTAAGTAGATAATTAATATTTTCTTCAGAGGGGCAGATCATGCTCCTGCTTGTCCCACTCGACCTTGCTCTAAGCAAGCCAAGAGTACTTTTTGGGATGTCATCCAGCAGTTGCTATGTTTGAGAGGCAGTGATGTTTTCTGCTTGGCCTAGCCAAAACTTTGCAATTCTGTTGGTCAACAGCATAACCGGTCAAAGTTCTCTATCTTTGACACTTCATGGTCTTGATTTTGAGATTTTTTTGTTTGTTTCTTTGTGGTTTTTGTTTGTTTGGTTTTTTTTTTTTTGAGAAGAAGAGTTTGGCCACAATTAGCATGTTTTTTCCTGTCTGAAGATAGTAAAGAAAAAAAACCAAACACCCAGAGATCAGTATCTAGCATTTTAGAAGAGCATTTCAGCATTTTCAGCTGGATGTCCACTCCAGCAATTTCTTAATTTCTTTTCAGAACTATTTATTTCTAAGTTCAGAAAAGCTTTTCTCTCCCTCTCTTCACCATCTCCCTGTGAGCACTCCCTATATGCCATTTCATCCAGAAACTCATTGATTCTTGGGAACAAACTACTCCAGGCTCCTGTTGCATGCTGCAAAGTCAAATGCCAGCTCCCCACGCCCCTTGGGAGCTCAGGTAGGAGATGGCACCCAGAAGTCCCTTGGCACCCCATTTCCCATGGGTCTATGATTCTATGACTCGGTGGGTAAGGCACGGAGTGCACTGCACTCCAGTTTCCACCAGCTTCCACCCATCTGCCCTCTCAGCAGGGATTGCATCCAGTGGCAAAGGAACCTTTCCTGACACCTCGCCCTCCCCTCCCCTCCCCGAGCTTTGTTCTCCTTCGGTTCAATGTACAAGGAGAACATTAACCACTGCAAAAGAGAATCTCACTTCTCCCCCCATTCCCTTACTTGTCTCAAACTGTAGTTGAGAGAGGTGAGAAGAAGGATGTGGTGTTTCTGATCGATGGCTCGGACGGTGTCAGAAGAGGTTTCCCTCTCCTGAAGACGTTTGTCCAAAGAGTCGTGGAGAGCCTGGACATCGGCCGCGACAAGGTGCGCGTGGCCGTGGCGCAGTACAGCAACACCATCCAGCCCGAGTTCCTGCTGGACACCCACGAGGACAAAGCAGATCTCATCAGTGCCATCCAGCAGCTGAAGCTCATGGGAGGGTCTCCTCTGAACACGGGGGCAGCCCTTGACTATCTCATCAAGAACGTGTTCACGGTGTCAAGCGGCAGCAGGATAGCGGAGGGCGTCCCGCAGTTCCTGATCCTGCTGACTGCTGACCGGTCCCAGGACGATGTCAGGAGGCCCTCAGTGGTCCTGAAGACAAGCGGCACGGTGCCCTTTGGCATTGGGATTGGAAATGCCGACCTCACAGAGCTGCAGACCATTTCCTTCCTCCCAGATTTTGCTATCTCTGTTCCCGACTTCAGCCAGCTGGACTCAGTGCAGCAGGTCGTCTCCAACAGAGTCATCCGGCTGACCAAGCAAGAGATACAATCTTTGGCCCCTGACCTGGTTTTCACATCACCCAGCCCAGGTGAGAAGATGTTTGTGTCTGCACCGAGAGCCAGTGGCAAAATATGATGTTTAGAAACATCATGGCTGCAACACAAACTGAGAAAAGCAAAGATGGTCATGGCTAAGACTCCAATTCTGAATTCTAGAATTCAGAATTAGATAGAATTCTGTCATGGTCTCCCTGTTGGTGCACTCAAGGTTGGTAGGAGCTGTGCAAATTAACTGAGCCACCTTTAAGCCCAGCCCCTCAAGGTGGTCCATGCTGCATTCATGTGGAAGACCCACGAAGTGAATGTTATCACCTTAATCTTATTTTAAGTGGATGGATTTTAAGTCCATGCTGTTCCTTCTGGAATGGAAATTGTGTCCTTTAGATGCTACAGGGGCACCTTCACACCAATAAAAATCAAGGTCAGCTTTCTGCTAAATGTAAGACATCCTGATTTTTCCTACTTTTGCCTCCCTCATTCACTGGGGAAAGGGAAATTGGAGGCAGGCATCAGGAGAAGGATCAGATCTTACATTTCTGGTCTCCCTTGGAGTGAAATCCAGCCAGTATATGCCTGGGATGAAGAATATCCACCCCAGAGAAGTCCCTTAGAAATTTGCTGTCCTACTCTGTTCATTCCCTTCTAAACCAGACCGATTTCCTCCATCCCCATTTATCAGTATGATGTTCTGCGATAATTCAGGCTCTGAATTACCTGAATTACCACTGCAGAAAACACTTTATTAGGAATCAAAAAATCATCCTGGAAAGGCAGAAGCTGAGAGTATAATAGGATAGAATCTTTCCTAGAGAGCAAAGCCAAAGAAAGAGGGTGGTTCTGAATGTAAAGCAATCTGCCCTGAGTAGGCACTGCCACCAAGCTGCATTTTCTCAGGTGGAGATCTCACAAGGAATTACTGTTCCTGGTGTCCTATTGCTCCCTCTCACTTCCTTTGCTCTGGAATCTACTGTTCTTACACCCCCTGGGATGTGCCTAGCAGCCTGGTTGTGTCTCTGGGTTGAACCCAGAGTTTCCTACTGGGGCTCCCAGGAGTTATCCCAGCCAGGAAAAAAAGGAGTACCGTCCCCATGGCCACAGGCATGGGTCAGTGGTGTAGATGATGAGCTTAGCTGCTCTCCATGAGCAATTCCTGGTGCTTCTTCCTGACCAGTGCCTTCTCTCCTGCAGCGGGCGTGAAGAGGGACATCGTGTTCCTGGTTGACGGCTCCCGCTACGCCGCCCAGGAGTTCTACCTCGTCCGCGACCTCATCGGGAGGATTGTCAACAACCTGGACGTGGGCATCGACACCACCAGGATCTCGGTGGTGCAGTTCAGCGAGCATCCCCACGTGGAGTTCCTGCTCAACACCCACTCCACCAAGGACGAGGTGCAGAACGCCGTGAGGCAGCTGAGGTCCAAAGGCGGCCAGCTGGTGAACGTGGGGGAGGCCCTGGAGTTTGTGGCCAAGACCATCTTCACCCGGCCCTCCGGGAGCCGCATCGAGGAGGGCGTCCCGCAGTTCCTGGTCATCCTCTCCTCCCGCAAGTCCGACGACGACTTTGAGTACCCGTCCCTCCAAGTCAAGCAAGTGGGGGTGGCACCTATGATGATAGCCAAGAATGTGGATACTGAAGAGATGATACAGATTTCCCTCAGCCCTGAATATGTATTCCAAGTCTCCAGCTTCCAGGAGCTGCCCAGCCTCGAGCAGAAGCTGCTGACTCCGATTGAAACCCTGACTGTGGACCAAATCAGGCGGCTGCTGGGAGATGTGCAGCCGCCCATAGGTAAGACACTGGCTCTGTCTGGGCTGCCACTCAAACAAATGTTGCCCAAAAGACCTTCTCTTTAAGTCAAGATTTTCCTTAGTTAAAACCAAAGTCATAGCACATGTGCAATTTTAGAAAGAAAGCTTTAGACAGATGGCAGTTCTACCCAAGTACCTAAATATATTATAACCTATGATTTTCAAGTCAAGTACTTTAAACATGACACCTGTTTGGGTCAATTTAAATTCAAATACACAATGTTTACTATTGCCTGTTCTCGCTTAGCAGCTCTCTAGGAAACAGGCATAAATCGGGGCAAAAGAAAGCTGGAAACATTGACAAATCCAGAGAAGAGTATTAATGAATGAGACAGATAAGGCTGTGAGTAATGCATGCTTCCAGTTCTAGGCAGACACACATTCCCACTTGTACACAGGCCCTTTTGGAGAGGCTCCCTGAAGCACTGTGCCTAAAAGTTGGCCAAAATATGCCACATGGTTCTACCTCACATGACAGCAGATCGCACAGAAATCCTCCAGCAAAACTTAAGCAAAAGATGGCACCCCAATAATTTCCTCTCTTCTTGCTTCCCCACAGATGTTTCTGGAGATGAAAAGGACATAGTCTTCCTCATTGACAGCTCTGACAGCGTCCGGCCGGATGGGCTCGCTCACATTCGGGATTTCATCAGCAGAATTGTCCAGCAGCTGGAAGTGGGGCCGAACAAAGTACGGATCGGGGTGGTGCAGTTCAGCAATGGCGTCTTCCCCGAGTTCTACTTGAAGACCCACAAGTCCAAAAATGCCGTCCTGGAAGCCATCCGCCGCCTGAGGCTTAGAGGTGGGTCCCCCCTGAACGCTGGCAAAGCCCTGGACTTCGTGGTGAAGAACTACTTCATCAAGTCTGCGGGGAGCAGGATAGAAGATGGAGTGCCCCAGCACCTGGTGGTCATCCTTGGAGACCGGTCCCAGGATGACGTGGACAGACCCGCCAGAGTGATCACTTCCACAAGCATCAAACCTCTGGGTGTCGGAGCCAGGAACGTGGACAGGGACCAGCTGCAGGTCATTACCAACGATCCTGGGCGCGTGCTTGTGGTGCAGGACTTCACGGGGCTCTCAACCTTAGAAAAAAGGGTGCAGAACATTCTAGATGAGCTCCCGATACCTACAACGGACTCGCCTGGAATAAACCATGTTGGTAAGGCTGCTATTCATCCTGAAGACTTTTCTGAACAGAGTACAGATGGTATTTGTATAAAGTGAAAATGATGCTGTAATAACACCTTTCGATTCTCAAACCTCTAGTTGCATTGATTAAAAGAACTCTTTGAAGTTGTTGAGTTAGGAAAGAATATAATTAAATCTGAAAGGAGATGAGGGTGACTATCAGAAGTAATGCTGTATGAAATGTTGTACAAAAATTTTCTTGTATGGAGGTAAAATCCTGCCAAGGGTCAATGAAATTAAAATGGTAGAAAGGGGAGAGAAATTTCATTTGTGAAGTGCTACTTCCTGAAGCCCTGAGCAGCTTAAAAGCTATAGGTGCTGCCTGCAATTACTAACAACTGTGTTTTCGTTGTAATCTTTTCAGGAGGCAAGAAGCAGGCTGACATTGTGTTTTTGCTGGATGGCTCCATCAATCTGGGGAGAGATAACTTCCAAGAAGTCCTTCAGTTCGTCTACTCCGTAGTGGATGCCATTTACAGGGATGGCGACTCTATCCAGGTAGGGCTGGCCCAGTACAACTCGGATGTCACTGATGAGTTTTTCCTCAAGGACCACTCCACCAAAGCTCAGATTTTAGACGCTATCAACAAAGTCATCTACAAAGGCGGGCGGGTGGCGAACACCGGCGCAGCCATCAAGCACATCCAGGAGAGGCACTTTGTGAAGGAGGCCGGTAGCAGGATTGACCAGAGGGTGCCCCAGATCGCCTTCATCGTCACGGGTGGGAAGTCTACGGATGATGGGCCGAGGGCGTCCTTGGAAATCACACAGAAAGGCGTCAAGGTGTTCGCGGTCGGAGTGAGGAACATCGACCTGAAAGAAGTCAGCCTGCTGGCCAGTGAGAGCGCCATGAGTTTCAGAGCAGCCACAGCCCAGGAGCTGTCAGAGCTGAATGAGCAGGTCCTGGTCACGCTGGAAGCTGCCATGGAGGAGAGATTGTGCCCAGGAACAACAGATGTGACAAGAGGTAAGGACAATCCCTTCATGACGTTCTCAGGGCTTTTAATGTCTAGTGTGTTTTGTTGGACTTGTCTGTCTTACTCTTGTACTTTGCCTATGGTCTGAGGTGCAGGATGGGCTCATTTCTCCTCCAGGAATCTGATGGAGGCTGCAAACTTTTGGTACAAGAGCTACCTGTCCATGGCTTCAGCCTGTGAATGACCAGAATAACATCACCACAGAGGTGCCGCCGTGGTGGAACTCATTTCAGATGTGACAGCCAGACATTAAATCACTGGCCTCCTACCACCACATTTAGCCTTTGGACTAAATCCCACTTTGGACTTTCTCACAGGGACATGATACAAGTATCATCATGACAGACCAACTTGTTTTTTGCTAAAATGAAAAGTGATGGCCCTTCTTTCCCCTCCCTGTGTCTATTACAATATAATTGAAAATTTTGGCCATCCAGGCATGCATGGTATGCTGGAAATCACAGAATCATAGAATTGTAGTATAGTTTGAGTAGGAGGGCACCCCAAATACCATCTTGTTCCAACTTCTCTGCCATGAAACACCTTCCACTATCCCAGATTATTCCAAGCCCTGTCCAACCTGGCCTTGAACACTTCCAGGGATGGGGCTGCCACAGCTTCTCTGGGCAACTACTGCCAGCGCCTGCCCACCCTGACATGGAAGAATTTCTTCCCAATATCCCGTCTAACCCTGCCCTCTGGCAGTGGGAAGCCATTTCTCCTGCTGTCACTCCAGGATCTTGTCCAAATCCTATGTCCAGCTCTCTTATAACCCCTTTCGACAGTGGAGGGGAAAACCAGGGAATTTCCCTTGCCAGATCATCCAGGATGCCCACCTGATCTCATGACAGGTATATGAGGGAAAACCAGGGCACGAGTGGTTGTAGTTCAAGGTAAAGTTGCCTTAAGAAGGAATCCCATGATTTGGCTACTTCAGAAGCCAAGCAGGGGAATTGTGGTGAGTAAGTGAGCTGGTATTGCTGTCGGATCAGGCTCCCAGCAGCTGGTTTTACTTACTACATTGCAGCCAGTCCTACTCCCAGCACAGCTGATCATGCCTCAGCCCTCTGACTTTAAGCAGAGGCGTCTCCTAAACCTCTGGAGAAATGGAAAGATAGGCACAACAGCCCTGAGCTGAGCAGCAGCTCCAGCTGGGAAGAAAAACTGAGTGCTGGGAAAAGCAAACCAGTGCTGGTGGTATTAACTTATCCCAAATGTGGTTAAGATATTAACCAGGCTAATGCCAAAGAGAATCCAAACCACTCCCTGTGATTTTCTGAGTGTCACTTCCAGCACAGGCAGGAGGTGCACACTGTACAACTACTGACAGGTTTCCATGTGCTGGAGAGAGAGAAAAGCAGTCTTAGCTGCCTGATGAAAATGCAAATTTCTCTTGGACTTAGTTTAGGCAGCTCGTCCCAGTGTTAAAGTTAAATAAAGAAAATTATTAAAACGCAAGTTTTCCCAGGTTGTCACTGCTATGGTGAAAGGAAACAGAAGGTACTTGTGCAGCAAGTGGTGTCAGTTCTTGTTACAGTGTCCTCATTAACTGCTAAAAGAGTAATTAGAAATTGAAAACCAATCATTGCATTGCTCCATGATGCTCTTCTCTCTATCTTCCCCTTTCAGACTGTGACCTAGAAGTGATAATTGGCTTTGATGTCAGTGATGTTGGGCCCGGCCAGAGCATCTTCACTTCCCAGAGAGTCTTGGAGTCCAGAGTGGAGTCTGTGCTGAACAGGATAACACAGATGCAGAAGATCAGCTGCACTGGCAACCAGGCACCCAATGTCAGGGTGGCCATCATGGCCCAGGCCCAGGGGGGACCCGTGGAGGGGCTGGATTTCTCCGAGTACCAGCCCGAGCTCTTGGAGAGGTTCCTGGACATGCGGACCCGCGGGCCCTACTACCTCAGGGCAGACACACTGAGGTCCTACCTGAGCAAATTCCGCTCCTCACCCGCTGGCAGCACAAAGGTGAGTCAGGGCTGAGGCCTCTGGGGTGGTACTGGCCAGCAAAACTGGCTTCTGGTGTCCTTTAGTTGGTAAAGAAACTCTAAATTAATAATAATTTAAAAAAAATTAAATTGAATTTATTCACCATAAATGTAGTCACTTAACCCTACTTGCTTGCAGCACTCTCCCTGCATTGTCATGGTCCTGACAATTGATGAGCATCACTGCAGCCAGTTCCCACAATCACTGCTTAGCTGCAAATTATTGCTCTCCACATATTTCCTGTGTTGTTCTCTAGCAACACCTGCATGATGTACAGGAGCGGGAAGGTACAGGAATCTGGCACAAGAATGCAGAGCTTCATGGCCTGGAAAAGGTGTAAAAGTCCCCTCACCTTCTCTCAGATGAAGCATTGGAAAAAGGCCCTTCAGGTTGCACGCTGATTGTGTTTCACACCTGAAGTATTCTGGGTCCTGACAGAAATTTGTTTCTCTCCCAGGTCATAATCCATTTTACTGATGGTGTAGATGAGCCAATAAGTCAGCTGGAGGCTGCTTCGTCTACTTTACACTCAGAAGGTAATTTTTTTTGCTCTTCCAGGCATTGAATGTAGCCCATTTTACCACCACTTCTAAATCCATCTGCTTTTGATAGTAAGAGCTAAGGATTTTGTGAGCTCTACATGCACTTGCTGTTCTTCATTGCCTTCCTGTGATGTTTTACCTGCCTGCTGCCACCTAAGCACGTGGGCAACTTACACTGGATGTGTCTGAAGAATCTTGTTCTCTATTGAAAAGGAGAAATCAAGATGTGGGTGTGGATATCACGCCGGAGGGTGATAACACATGGTTAGCACCTCTCCCCATCACAAAGCCCCCTCTGCTTCTCCCTGCCAGGAGTCAACGCTCTCATCTTCGTTGGGCTGGACCGAGTGGCCAACTTTGACAGAGTGATGCAGCTGGAGTTTGGCCGTGGCTTCACCTACAACAGGCCTCTCAGAGTTAACCTGCTGGACCTGGACTTTGAGCTGGCAGAGCAGCTTGTAAGTAACTTGGCACGGGCAGTGCTGCCTTGTAATGCTGGAGGGGAGCCCACGGCTGGATGTCCTGCGGGGCTGAGCCGTGGCTGGATTACACCCTCTTGGCTCTGCTCCTCTCCCCTCCCTGCCTCACGTCAGCTCCTTTCACAGATGCCACAGCAAACAAAGTTCAGAGCAGATCACAGTCTCTTCCCACTCCTGAAGAAACCCTACTCCAGCCAAGGCTTTAGGTCAAATGGGATGGGATCAGATGCCATCAAAAGCTGCAGTGCCAAAAACCCGCCCTCTGCTTGTGTTTACACTGTTGGTTTTTTTAGCCTTACTGTAATGCCCTGTCGTGCCTGGTCAAGTGCTAAACCTCTTGTAGAAGCCTTGCTTTCGAGGTTTCTTTCCCTGATCTCATGCGCTGCCTGTATTTTAGACATGCTTTTCACAAATGTAGGAGTTACCCTTTTAAGTCCCTTCCAACCTAATCCATTCCATGATTCTTTCCTCTTCATAGGTTTACTTCTTTCCCAATGCATAGTCCCTCTCGAGTGTTGAGTTAATTTGCTGTCAGCCTCAGTATGTCCAGTTTCTCCCAACTCCTCATCTGCTACCAGCACGATTGAGCTCCTTTTCCAGTAGATTTAATAAGATTGGGTTTAACCACTGGTCCCTGTGGTAGCCTTGCTGGGCCCTTCCCCACAAATCAAAGTGCAGCCCCTTGTGAGTGAGCCTTGGGTTTTGGGATAAGAGTTGGTCCTCAGCCCCTCCCCAGGTAATTCAGCCTAGAAAAATCCTTCCAAACTGTAAATGTGCAAAGCTGGCAGGAAACGTTTGCAGCCAGCAATGTACTTGGCAATGAAAGTGATTTTTTTCCCTCTTTTTTCTGTTGGATGATGTAAAACCAAGCTGTGGTTTCTCTGAGTCTATATCATTCTTTTTAACCTTTTTTTTTCTCCTTTACTGTGTGCTTGCAAACTGTTCTCAGCCTGTGGGTTGCTGCTGAGCTGCTCACTGCAGCGACTTTCTCATGGCCTGCTCCACAGCCTGGATCTTTTCCTTTGGAGATGGGATTTCTCTCTTCAGTGACAGGCACAGCTCTGGGGACTGATGTCCTACTACATGCACTCCTGCCCCACTCATTTTCTGTTTAAACCCTTCCCTCTGATGTCCAAATCTGGTGTTGGGGCTCTGACACTTTCTAACGCTTTCACTTCCCATTTTTCCTGCAGGACAACATCGCAGAGAGGACGTGCTGCAAGGTCCCCTGCAAGTGCTCAGGACAGAGAGGGGACAGAGGTGTGCCAGGCCCTATAGGACCAAAGGTAGGTCACTCTATCTGGGGATGAGGGCTCCCTGTGCGCAGGAACCTGATGGTGACGTGCAAGTCCTGTAGTTGCAGTGGGTGATGTTAATGGGGAGATCAGCTCCATTTACTCTCCCTCCCTCTGAAAACTGATCCTGGGAAATCCAGAGCAATTGTGGGCTGCTCTTCTTCCCTTTCCCCACAGCCTCAGTGCTGCAAAACATCCAAGAGGGCAGGGATAAACGTCTGGAAAGACAGGGTGAAACATCCTGTGAAACAATTTAGGGACATCAAAAGATTATATCTCTCATTAACACATATGGCCAAGCAGCTGCTTTGTCCTTATCTAAGAAAACCTTGGATATCAATCACAGAACTATGAAGGGAGTTAATAATTTTCTTTGTTGTCTTCTAGGGTGTCACAGGGGATCTTGGCTACGGAGGCTACCCTGGTGATGAAGGAGGACCGGTGAGTGACTGCCCCTGTTCCAATGGGAACCTCACCATGGTCAATTGTTTGGAGGTGTTTCCACTAAATGAAAAGCCTCCAAACGTTTTTTCCTGCTGGGAATGTGGATGTGGGTTAGAAGAGGCAGCAGAACTCTGAGTTTCCCACACCTGACATGCTGAGTTGCTGGTCCCAGCTTCTCCTGAGAGAAAGTCAGTAGGGAGCTTCTCGAGAGCTGGAAAAGGATAATGGGGGAATAACTCCCATTATTTGATGTCACCCATCTCTGTGCTATTCCCAAGGCAAATAAAATCCTCAGCTTCATCAAATCTGCAGCCTATGCCAAAGTTATCCACACCTCCTGCAGCTGAATGATTTGAGTTAGTCCAAAAGTGGAACCAAGAGTGATGTTCCTACCCCTCACACGGCAGACAACATGAATCCCATGAATTCTTACTAGCACTCTTCATCCAAATTCTGCATGAATCCCACGTCAGCCCTGGAATAAACATCGCTGCATGCATCCCTCCCAAGGGCTGAAGCTGAGGCCAAGGGGCTGACAGAGCTCACGGCTTTTCCAACAGCACAGGCAGGGGCCAAAGGCTGCTGTGAGACATCCCGTGCCAGGCAATGCTTTCCTGGAGCTTGAAAGTCAGGATGGGATTAGACATCCGTGCAGAGCTCTGAGGGCTTCATCTTGTCATTTTGGTTTTGGAAGAGAAGTTTCACAAAGCTCTTTCGCAGCTGAGGGACTGGGAAGGATGTTTCTCTCTCGATGATGATGAAGATTTGCAGTTGGTCTCTACATGAGGAATGTTGTAGTGATGGTGGGGTGGCCAGGCAAAACCTGCTGCTCCTGTGCCTCCAAGCCACCTCCTGTGGCAGGCAGCTACAGAAACAGGCTTAGCAGGCAACTCCTGACTTGTTATTTTCCCCTCTATGCACCAGGGTGAGCGTGGACCTCCGGGTGCGAATGGGACACAAGGTTTCCAGGGATGCCCCGGGCACAGAGGAACAAAGGTACGTGTGGAACAAGCCTGCAAAGAGCAGACCCAGAGTCCAAGGGTTGGGAGTCCCCCAGGGGTAACTCCTGCTGCTTCAGGGAATCACACTTGCGTGGTTGTGTCCACCTGGCCAGGCACCAGGGCTTTCAGAGGCTGCCGTGGCTTTGGTGTTGCTGTGAAGAGCAAAAAGGCAGCCCAGAGAGCCAGGCTCAATCCACAGACAAGGATGATCTATCCTCTGCAGTCTGGCTCTGGGGGAAAGGTTTGGGAAGGGATGGGATGTGCATGTCTTGGCACAGGGCTGGGACAGTGAGTGGGTGGAACTCTGCTGCTGGGGAACAGGGAGACAAGTGAGCTATGGCTGGGGCTTTGAAAAGGAACCTTGAGCTAATGCTCCAGGACAGCAGCTGCACCCCATGCCAGAAAAGGTGGTGAAACATATAATGGGAAGTATTGAAATTAAGGGGATGTTTCCTACCATTTGCTCTGACCACATGATCCTCTGGCAGGGAGAAAAGGAATGCATGAACCAAGCCCATTAGCTGAGATACTGAGTTTCATTAAAAATCTGTTCAGCCTTGGACAAAGGCACTAAGTCTGGCTCTGGATTAACATAAAAATGGGTGCAGGGAGAAATGAAAGTCAGTGAAGGAAGAGTTGTGGCTGAGGAGTGAGATATTTTATTGGATCAGCTGGATTAACTCCCATGCCCCACATATTTTATCTTGGCACAAGTGTTGGGGAGGCAGCTGAAGACAAACATTGACATAAGAGAAATTAGGGAAAGTCTTGTCCTGGTCATGGCTCTGGGTCTGCCACCAAGCCCAGCCCTCCTTCTCCACTGCTTTCTATGGCAGTGAGCTGGACAAAAGTGGAGTAACTCTCTTTTTTATCTCCTCAGGGTTCTCGGGGATTCCCAGGAGAGAAGGTAGGGAGCCATTTCCTCATGCCACAGCAGTGAGCGTGAGTGTATGGCACATCAGTATCCCCCTCCCCATTCCCCCTTCCTCTCAGTAAGCATTTGCCCCTTGCCTCCCTTCCACAGGGTGAACTGGGAGAAATGGGTCTGGATGGCATTGATGGAGAAGAGGTCAGTAATTTTAATTGTTTTTCTCTTAATGACTTGATGCTTCAGTGAAGTGTCTAAAAAGCACCTTGGAAGTGGCAAATATTCTAAAATATTTTTCTTTTGTTTAGGGAGACAAGGGTTTGCCTGGCTCCTCTGGAGAGAAGGGATATTCTGGCAGGAGGGTAAGCTTTACTCTCTTTTACAGTGGAGCTAAATGATGGTGTAGAGGTGGATTTGGGCCAGGGGAGGGTGGAAAGCCATTGTGTTCCCCTCAGGGCTGAGGGCTGGGCAGAGATGCTTTCCACAAGCAAGAGCTGCTCTTTCTAACTCTCCACCTCTTCCCACAGGGAGATAAGGGAGTCAAGGGAGAACGAGGGGAACGAGGCGACCGCGGGCTCCGTGGAGATCCGGTAAATACTGCTCAGGCATCTCCTTGTTTTTCCACCCACTTCCCACTGATCCTGGGCTCATCAGAGAGGGGGGCTCTGGCCTATTAAATGCTGTTTGACAGTGGCAGGCCCCATGACAGAGCAAGGACTCAGAGTTGACACATGAGTACCACGTTATACCAACGCATCAATCACTGCTTCACCATATTAAAATTCCCCTTCCTCTTCTTCTTTAGTATTACTTCTCAGTTGAAAAGCTGTGTCTGTCTGGAAACACCAGCAATACTTCATCTATTTCAGTCAAAAAAGGGAAAAAAATAAAAGAAATGTTGGTTCTCAGCTCTAGCTGAGAACTCTCTCAGTTTATGAGATTTGATTTTCATGTCCCACTTACACAGATGTTTCTCATTGCTTTGTTGCTTTCAGGGAGATTCAGGAGCTGATAATACTCAACGGGGCCCCAGAGGACAAAAGGGTGAAATTGGACCAATGGTAAAATTTCTTTGTTGTCTTTGTGTTGTTTTTTGGTTTTTACAACAGAATGGGCCAGAGAATGGGAGAAAAAGGGATGCTGCCAAAGAGATGCAAGTTCCTTAAACTCATTGTGCCTTGTCAGATGGAATATTTTTTTTCCACTAGAAAACATTGTTGATTTGGCACCAAAACTTTCTCTGGGAAGATGTCAGTTTAGAAGATGTTTTGTGTAAAAAGCACCTTTAAATTTTTTTTTTTAATATTTTACAATACCTTTTTGTGATGTTGCCTCTGAAAAGAACTTGGAAATTACCTTTGTATGTTCTCATGGGTCATATACAAAAGCAGAGAACTGATTAGATTACACCAAATCTAAACCTCCTGATTCACCTGAAACCTTTTCAAGGAAAAAAACCCCACACACTCCTTGGAAAATGTCAAACCCCATCTATTTTCACATCAGCTCACAATAAAACATGCACTTAATTTGTCAGAAGGCATTTCCCAAAGAAGAGGAATGTTGAATTCTGCTGGCTCAGAAACTTGATGGAAAGTCTCTGTGAGTTGTTAGAAGGGTTCCCACCAAAGGCAGGACTTTTAACTTGTGTGAAAGCATGAAAGGAGCCATTTTTTGTGAACTGAATCTCTTTTCCCAGTGCCTGCTCATCTCAGGGCTCTCACTTGAGTTTTGTTTTTCCCTTAGGGAGATCCTGGACCGGCAGGGTCGGAGGGCCAAAACGGTGAAGCAGGGAGGAATGTGAGTAGAGTCGCCAGACCTCCAGTCAGCAAGGCCCAAGCTTAGACTGACCATAACTTTTCCCCTCCTTCCTTTCCATGTATTTTGATTCAAACAAGCAACAGGAATTCAACATCAAAACCCAACAAGCCACACCCCCCAAAAAAAGAAAAAAATCTCAAAAGGAAAAAGCCTCCTCCTGGCTTCCTGGCTTGTTGTAGAGACTTTGAAAGTCGAATTTATTCCCATGCACATAACTCAGTGCTCAGATCAGTGGCGTTACATATGATTTATGTATGAGGCCAGGTTGGATAGTGCTTGGGGAAGGTGTCCTTGCCCATGGCAAGAGGTTGGAATTAGATGGTCTTGAAGGTCCCTTCCATTCCAAACCAGCCTGTGATTCCCTGTATGCATCTGCATTTGGCTGCTGGTTTTGGAAAGGCAAAAATCAATCTGGAGCAGGGATGTCTGGGATGTGTTTCCTGCTGCGTGTCCCTCCTGTCCCAGGGATGGTGACACACTTCTGACATGCTTGAGGGAGCAGCTCACCTACGTGGGAGATGTGAGGAGAGAGAAAACATGCCCAAGTCTGATTTAAGAGATCTGACCACGTGGATTTCCCTCTCTCTTTCCCCCAGTAGTTTAAAACAGCCAAATGTAATTTTTGGACTACAAGAAGCATTGATAAGAAGTATTTATCTAAAAGTAATAGGGAAAGGTGTACTTAGATATTAGATCAAAAAGCCTCATTGTTCCTTCCTTTGCAGGGCATGGCAGGACGAAGGGGGCCCATAGGAGTAAAGGTAGGTGGTGATGGGACAACACATGGGGCTCCTGCCACACCACAGGCCAGGCAGCCTCAGCACCCAGAGGGATGTGCCAAGAGAAGGCACATGCAGGCTCTGCTTGTTCCTCTCTGCCTCCTCTCTCCTCCAAATTTCCCAACTCCTCCTCAGGCTCATCTCCCTGTATGCTCCTTGCTGGACTTGGTGCAGAACCAGCTGTCCACATGCCTGCCTGTCTCCCACAGCATTCCCTGGTCAAGTGTTTTGTCCCTGTGTGCTGCTGGAGCAGTGTAACAGGGCCAAGGCATAATGGTTGATGGCCATCAATTGCAGGAGGCAAATTGCCCCCTTCATCACTCTTCTTATTGTCTGCTATATATATCTTAGAAAAAAAAAACAAAACAAGGAAAAAGCCCAACTGAAAATCCATTCTTCCCTGCTCTTTGTGCAGCTGTGGATGCCCTGATCTCCCCTTTCCCTTCCCATGGTGCTGACCACATCTAACCTGCCCTGTGCTGTTTTATTCTTGCAGGGCACCAAGGGCGCGCCTGGCCAGCCAGGGCCAGCTGGAGAACAAGGCATGCGAGGGCCACAGGTCAGTGAGGGCACAGCAGAGGGAAGGCCTTGCCTCATGGTGCTGGCTGTTACTTCATCATAGCCACTTCCCCAGAGACCCTCACCCACAAAGGCTGTTGGGATTTGGGTATTTTTGGGTGTGCTGTGGCCTGGCTGTCCTGCCTGCCACTGTGTTCACACCAGCCAAGGTGTGACGTGTTTGCAGAGCATCCCTCAGACACTGCAGAATTTGCTTCCCCTTGGATCTTGGTGTGTTTCTGACCATGTGTGCTGACAGCCTCTCTTTTCTTCCCACACAGGGTCCCCCTGGCCAGGTTGGCACACCAGGCATCAGAGGAGAGCAGGGTGTCCCTGGACCCAGGGTAATCCTTCTGCTGCTTCCCAGACATGCTGTTGTTGAACTAATAAGATTCCAATGTGTTTTCACATTCCCCTCTCCTAGGGCTCCAGCTCTGCTCCAATCTCTTTTCACACTCTCTTCCAGCATGATTCTTCTCTCAACTTATGCTTAGGACTTCTTGATCAAGAGTTACAGAAGAGAAAGAGATAAAAGCAACCACAGAGGGGTCAGAACTTCAGTGTTTGGCTCATTATTGCAATTTTAGTTAAAGAGGATCACTGAGTGACTGGTGGGACATCTCCGTGATGTTTCATCCTCTGAAACCAGAGCATGGCCATCTCACATGCCTGCAGGAGCCATCACATGTATTTATTTCTCCCTCCTGCTGCATTCCTCAGCCACACTTGACATAAAGCCATATTGCGTTTCCCCATCCCCAGCATGATTTTCCCCCTCCTGCTTTCCTGTGGGTGTCCTCTTAGAGACAATATAAATTGCTGCTGGTATTTGCATTGAACTGAGCCAGACGTCCAGCTCTTCCCAAACATGAAGCAGACTTCTGAATTTCCTGATGTGTTTTGAGAGACACCAGCCCTAGTAGTCAGTACATGATTTCTATGGTCATCCACTTCCCTAGTTCCAGGCACCCGAGTTTCCCTGAACTTTGCCAACATGCCTCTCCCCATTTCCATTCCAGGCTGGGAGTGGACCTCCAGGACCCCCAGGAGACCGTGGCAGGATTGGTCCCCTGGGAAGGAAGGTATGTCTTCAGGAGCACTGGGCACCAGCAACTAAAGCTGCATTGAAAAGCTGCTGGACTTTGCATGGGCTTAAAGAAACACATGAGGTGAACCTCTTGGGCTTGCACAGTGTGCTCATGGTCTCATTAGGCTCCCATTTCAGTGAGCAGAAAGGCAAAAGTAACTGAGCAACTGAGATTCCCAATGAACTTTCCTGGGCAGATTATCAGAAAATGCCCATGTGGGAAGGTTTTATCTCTCCTGAAATCACCAAAGGTCCCACTAAAGAGTATGCACGTGGCATCATTTCGGGCTGTGTAGGTCCAGTCATGCCTTTCTGCCACAAGGAGGGCTGCAGACTGCTCTGTGAGAGGAAACCAGTGTTGATGGGGTGGGGAAGGCTCAGAGCAGCCTGGAATTTCAGCACATCCTTTAACAGATGCTCCTGTTTTTAGGGTGAGCCTGGAGACCCTGGACCCAGAGGGCCGAACGGACAGCCAGGCCCACGAGGAGAGATGGTGAGTGTGGCCATGCCTTCACACCTCTAAGGACACTTAAGGAACTTCAAGGAACATTTAAGAGTCTCACAAAGCCCTGTGGCTTCAGTGGGTTCTTTCTATTGGTGCTGCTGGACCTGCGGGGTTTAAGTTATTCATTTTCATATTCATGACTCTGGCTTTCCAATCTTAGGGTGATGATGGACGCGATGGAATTGGTGGCCCAGGTCCTAAAGGCAGGAAGGTAGGTGTATGCTCAGCATTCCCACCTCCTCAACAAGGACAAGGAAGAACCCAATATCTCCAGCACAGATGGATGAGGGAATTTGCTAGAACATATCCAAATTAACCTTTCTGTTGTTTCAGGGAGAACGTGGTTTCGTAGGTTACGCAGGGCCAAAGGTAGGTGCAGCCCCTGAGCTGTGCATTTATTTTCCAAGCAATTTTCCATGGGCCTGTGCAGGTTTAGAGCTGCTGTTTGTGGTTTTCCCCTCCTAGGGTGGACCTGGTGACCGTGGTGTTGCTGGAGGCCCTGGCCCCAAAGGAAACAGAGGCCGCAGAGTAAGTTGGACCATGGTACAAATTTTCCCTTCTGCATGAATGCCCTGAAAGATGGACACATCTTTTCCTCCAGGTGCTCCTGGGGGTCCTCCTGCAGATGTTCATAGAGGGGATTTCTCTGCTCTCTCTTTCCAGGGAGATGCAGGAGTACCTGGGATACCCGGTCAGAAAGGAGAGATTGGATACCCTGGGCCATCTGTAAGTGTTCATTGCATTGCTGATTGGCTTCCTGTAATGGTCCCTGTGGGTGCCAGGGGTTGAAAAATAAGTCCATCACTGTCTCCTGCTGATTTCAAGTTGAGGAAATCCCTCCTTATTTGTGTTGGATGTGTCTCCATAAATTTTTAAGCAGCTGTTTATCGCTGACAAATATTTACCCTTCCTCAAACCAAAGGAAAAACTCAAGGGACATGCTCTTACCAGGCATTAGGAATTCCCCATGGCAATATGCCCTTTAAAATTCCTTCTAGGAGATTCTCATCTGTTTATCATTCACCACCCCTGTAGGGGGCATGACCAAATCTGGCTGGCACAGGGCTCCCTAGAAAGGCCAAGGTGGCTGGGCTTGCTTTGCATGTGAACCTGGAGCATCATAACTCATAGAATGGTTTGGGTTGGGAGGGACCCTAAAGACCACCCAGTTCCAACCTCCCTTTTGGGTTTGGCCTCAGCTAGGTTTGCTCCTCACACAGAAGAGCCCTGCACTCTGTTGCTGGAAACACATCTGAAAACAGACAGATTTTCCCATGGCTCAGTAGTTATTCTGGCAGGTTTCATAAGGCACCCTGGAGATACACTTTGCACTCAACTTCTCTTCCTTCTTTGAAACAGGGCCTTAAAGGCGAGAAAGGAGAATCCAGAGATGTAAGTGTCGCACAATTTCTCTCTTGTTTTGGAACACCCCTGAGTTGGCTGTGTGACATATTTCTCTCCCCCCCTTTCTTTATCTCCTTAAGCAATGTGCGCTGGTGCGGAACATCAAAGACAAATGCCGTGAGTACCTCCTCAGTGCCTTGCTAAGCCCCTCTCTCTACCCTTATTTGCCCATCATCAGTTACAAGAATGGCACTGACCAAGCTGTCCTTTTCTCTCCATCTTTTCCACAGCTTGCTGCTATGGTAAGTCTCATTCAGTCCTTTAAACCCCAGGGTGGCTGCATGTTGGTCTTCCCATGTATGGATGATTTACCCCTGCTGAGGACACTGTCCCTGCATCCTGACAGCTGCTTGAGGCATGACTTGTTCCCAATGCCCATTCCCAACAGGTCCCAAGGAGTGTCCTGTCTTCCCAACCGAGCTGGCCTTCGCTATTGACACCTCCTCGGGCGTCGTGAGGGAGGTTTTCAACAGGATGAAGCAAACCGTGCTCAGAGTGGTCAACAACTTGACCATTGCTGAGAGCAACTGTCCCCGGGGAGCACGGGTGGCCCTGGTCACCTACAACAATGAGGTCACCACCGAGATCCGCTTTGCTGACGCCAGGAAGAAATCCAGCCTCCTGCAGCAGATCCAAAACTTCCAGGCAACACTGACCACGAAGCCGCGCAGCCTGGAGACCGCCATGTCCTTCGTGGCCAGGAACACCTTCAAGCGTGCCCGCAGTGGCTTCCTGATGAGGAAGGTGGCTGTCTTCTTCAGCAACGGGGACACCAGGGCATCCCCACAGCTCAACGATGCCGTGCTGAAGCTCTACGACGCCGGGGTTGTGCCGGTGTTCCTCACCAGCAGGCAGGATGCAGTGCTTACCAGAGCTCTGGAGGTTGGGCTCCTTCACCCTTTCTTTATTTTCTGCTCGTGCCCTCGATCTGGTTTCATGGTGTTGGATGCCACAAGCATTTGAAGCTTGGCTTTCAAAGGCCTCTCATTGTGGAAGGCTGGCCAAAGTCATCCATCTATTAGGAGAGAAACACTAATTTTGTAATCCCCACAGCACATGCTGGGAAATGCTAGTGAGACCCCTCTTTTCCCAGGCCGTGGCTCAAGTGTGGGATGAAACAGAAGGAAAAGTCTGACAGAAAGGCAAAGGGTGGGAAGGTGGGAGTACATTAGCTTTGCTGGCAGAGGGAGAGTGGACAGACAGAGATTGAAAACCAGGAAAAAACCAGATAAACTCACTGAGCACTGGTTCAAGTGGTCCCTTTTCTTGGAGTTTATGGCTCTAAACTGACACCGGGGACACGAAGCTCCTCCAAAAGGGATCACCATTGTGCTGAGCAGAGAATTCCTCAGAGCTGTGGGTTGCCCTGCCCTCCTCTGAGCTGAGAGCAGCAGAAGGCAGTGTTACTGACTCTGTGTGTTTCTGTTTCCATCTCACCAGATCAACAACACGGCGGTCGGTCACGCCATTGTTCTCCCAACCAGCGGCGGTCAGCTGAATCAAACCATTCAGAGGCTTTTGACTTGTCACATTTGTTTGGGTAAGCATCCAATTTCTCCTCTAAACACTTCCAAATCCTTCTGGCCAGGCAGCAGTGGGTTGTAAGAAGGGAAGCCCAACTTGGGAGTCAGCCCTTCTGTTGATGGATACAAGGGATTCTTGGGTTGAGCGGAAAACATTGGCATTGTGAATGCTGTTTGCTGGGCGTACTCCACTTTGTAAAGAGAAGCTCCTTTTTTGTCTGGTTGCCACTTTTACAGCCCAAATACTGATAGCTAAGTGCTCTAAAAATGGCCTTATGCCACAGATGACAGCGTGCTTCAGGGATCCCCTTGGACAAAGCAGCACATTAAAAAAATACTGAACACATAACTGAATGTGTTGTGGCATGAAATTACTTTGGTATCAAGCAATGGGACCAGTGAATTTCCAGGGCTTGATGGTATCTCATGTGACACAGGAGATGTTTACAGTGATGAGGGAGGGCTGTGTTTGGGTCCTGCAGGTGAAACCAACCCCCTGTGTTTCTTCCCCAGATGTGTGCGACCCAGATCCCAGATGTGCTGGAACTGGCCAGAGACCTTCCTTCCGAGACAGAAGGGCAGCCCCCACTGACGTGGACACAGACATAGCCTTCATCCTGGACAGCTCCGAGTCCACCACCCCCCTGCAGTTCAGCGAGATGAAAAAATACATTTCCCACATTGTAACCAACCTGGAAATCAGCTCAGAGCCAAAAGTATCCCAGCACCACGCCAGAGTGGCCGTTCTCCAGCAAGCTCCTTACGAACACGAAATCAACTCAAGCTTCCCACCAGTGAAAACTGAGTTCTCACTAACTGATTATGCATCCAAAGAGAAGATCATTAATTACCTCCACAACCAAATGACCCAGCTGCATGGCACGAGGGCTCTGGGAAGTGCAATCGAACACACAATCGCTCATGTCTTTGAAAGCGTGCCAAGCCCTCGGGATCTAAAAGTCATCGTTCTGATGATGACTGGAAAAGTGAACAAAAGAGAACTCGAGCACCTGCAGAGGGCTGTCATCAGTGCAAAATGCAAAGGGTACTTCTTTGTTATCTTGGGCATTGGCAGGAAGGTGAATGCCAAGAACATCTACAGCCTCGCCAGCGAGCCCAACGACGTGTTCTTCAAGCTGGTTGATAAACCAGGAGAGCTCCATGAAGAGCCCTTGCTGCGTTTTGGGACACTGCTGCCATCCTTCATCAGAAGTAAGTGCAACATCCTTGCAGCCCAAGTGTCATGGAAGGGGCAACACATGGCCTCTGAAAGGTTTTTAGCAGTAGGAGCCACTGAAGTTAGTCTCTTTTTTTTATGGTTTGTACTGTTTGGTGCAATTTGGGCTACTCATACTTTACCAATTTGAATATGTCTGGGTTTTGCTCATTCTGGCCTCCCCATCCCCTTCCATGTTGATCCACTAAGTAGAGTTTGCACTTCAATGTGCTTTGCCCTGGTCTCCATGGGCTCACCTGTGGATTCTGATCTCATCCCACCTGGCTTGCCTCTCACACAGATCCCACTGAGGCCCTCTGCAGCACTTCCTTGGAGCTCCTTCAAAACCCAGCAGATCTTTCTTCCCAACTTTACCATAAACATCATGTCCAGCAGGCCCTTGGCTGGCTCAGGCTGAGATCTGGAGTTGCTCTATGCAGATTTAAGGACCAGATGTACAGGATTCTTTGCTCAGGGATAAATAAAGCTGCTGTATTTGGGATGTGCTGACTGTGCCTCGAAAATCTACATCTCAGCTTATCTAGAGAACCCTGGCTGGACCTCCAGATCCTAAACACACCCATCCAGCAAGGATAAGAAGTAGAACTTTTTAGGAAATCTAGTTTTTAGCAAAAATTCCTGAAAACCAGATTAATGGGCTGATATACCACAGATTCAGGAATGTCTTGCACTAAATAGAAAGCAAATATCTGGAAATAAATGTTTAGGTTATCTCAGTTTGCTTTTTCCATTTACTGCTTACAGCCGTCCTGGAAATTTCTAACTCTTGATTACCTGTGTGGTTGGAAGTCCCCTGTTACAAGAAATGTGTTTATAAGTGACAGACTCAGGCAAACAGCCCTCTTGTAGTTAAGGCCCTTGTGTTTGTAGACTGCAATAACAAATCTCCCAGCCCAGGATGTTGCAGTAACCAAACATCAAGCAAGAAAAGGAAATTAATTTCCTTTTTTTTGGTTTTAGCTTTTTTGTTTCTTTTTAATTAAGAAGAAATAAATGTAATGTGTTGGTGGTGGGTATGAACCATCCTCAGCTCCAGTATTTAATGTCTCTCTCCATCTCCAGGTGAATATGCTTTCTACCTGTCTCCAGAGATAAGGAAACAGTGTGAGTGGCTCCAGAATGGTCAGCAAATCCAGGGCCCCGTGCTCGTTGGGCAGAAAGCAGCGTGAGTAATGCTTTGGGGAAAAGGAAAGAAAAAGCAACTTCACTTTCAAAAATCAGGATTGTCTTTTAATTAATATAATTCTAATAGTATTTCAATTAATATAACTGGTTCCCCCAGTGCTGTGTCAAAAGAGCAACAGAGATATCTTATAGAGAAGGGATGATGTATAAGTTTAAATTTGGGGTAAATTCCGTATTTATATATGCTTAAAAATATGAAGGAGATATATGTTGACTTTGATCATGTAGGTCAGAAATTCCAGAAATTACTATGAATTTGGGGCTTTCTACTCCAAACACTATTTTCAGAGGCTGGGCTGCCCTGGGTTATCTCATACACAGAACCCAGCACAGCACCCATGCTAATATTTTCTGAAGAGAAGTGGAAGCTTGTTGTCACCCGGACTCACTGGTGGCACAGAGCTGTGCTGGCTTTAGAAGGCCAAGCCCCTTGAAATCAGGCATGCTGCAGATCTGTCTGAGTTCACTTTTTTCAGAATAATCACAGAACAGTTTGGGTTGGAAGGAACCTTTAAGAACATCTTCCAACCCCTCGCCATGGGCAGGGACACCTCTGCTAGGGGCACATTTCACTGCTTGGATCTAAGCACTTTTCACTCACTGTGGGCAAATATAAAGCTGACAAAGACTCTCGACCTCAGGTGGGTTCCTGCCAGTGGTTTTTACACCAACTCATCTCCATTTCCAAAATTCTGCCCAGGTTCGTGGCTCCCAACGCGACCGCCAGCCGCACCTTCCCTGCCAGCACCACGGTCAGCGCCACCATCAAGCCAGAGATGAGTGCCCACACCAGAACCACTCCTGCCAGCACCACGGCCCAGGCCAGAGCCCCCGAGACCACCCCAGCCAGCTCTGTGGCCCAGGGGAACGCCACAGCCCAGGGAGCAGCCAGTGCCACCACCAGCCACAGCAAAGCCAGCAGCCGGGCTGCCACCACCAACGCCACAGGCACCGCGGCCGGCAGCAGGAGGAGACACAGCGGTACGTGAGCAGCTCTTCCCGTGTGGGCAGGGCCTCCCTTGAGGCTGAAACACAGCAGGCTGTGGCTCTTCTTCCCCATGAGAGGATTATTCCTGTGGGAAATGTCACCCAGAGGCCAAATTTCGGTTTTAGGTGTAAATCGGGAAGTCTGTGCTGGGGCATTGCCAACTTGCATTAGGAATTTTGTGCAAAATGGGCGGGGGACAGACTGTCCCTAGACAAAACACAATCAGGATCAATCCATCCCTCTACAGAGAGCTTCTCTTTGTAGTGTGGCTCATTTGTTTCCAAGATTTCCTTGGAGCATTGCCCCTTGGCCAAGTTTTGCTATAAATGGTGGTCCATATAATGGCAGTTCATATAATGGCATGGTTTGAACTCTCAGCTAACAGGAATAGTTATTTCAAGGGATGAGTGTAGAGACCTTTTTGGGAACACCAAGTCTTTCATGTGGGCACAGTTCATAAAAAGGGATATTTTTGCAAGGGGGTACAGGCAGATCTGTACTAGCTGGACGAGGATCAAAAACTGTGTTCAAAAATGTGTCAAAAAATCAAAAAAGCACAGGGAAGCTCATCCAGTCACTGATGGCAAGTCCCTGCATAAATAATAAGCAAAAAGCAATAAATAAAAGCAATCAGCTTTTGCAAGGCTAATGCTTTTATCAGCTTGAGGGGAATAAACTTTTCTGGGTGTTTCTTGCCCCACCAGTGCTTCAAACAGTGTTTATAAAGGTCTCATCCAGTGATCTGCCAGAGTAGGAAAACCTTTCCATAACAACTTCTTTGACCTGTTAAGGTTATCATCCCTGGAAATGTTCAAGACCAGGGCTTGGAGCAATCTGGTGTAGGGGAAGGTGTCCCTGCCCATGGCATGGAGGTTGGAAGGAGATGGTCTTGAAGGCCCTTTCTAACCCAAAACAGTCTGTGATTTTATGTTCACTTTAGGCAGACTTGGCTTGAAAATCTTCAGCAGCTCAGTGAATCCATTGCACCCTAGAGAAGGAAGGATCTGACTGGGCACATTTACAGTAGTTGGGAAAGTGCTGGGAATTTCAAGCAGTGAGAATCTTGTAAAAAAAAAAAAAAGAAAAAGGCTTTGATTTGCTAGATTGCAACAGATTATTAAAGATAAACAAACCACTTGGTGAATCATCTGAGCTATGGAAAACAAAGCCTCCCCTGCAGGGGCATTTGAGACAGCCAAGTGCCAGCCTGGCTTGCACTTGCCATGGAAAGAAGATTCTGCAGCACTGACGCATTTCTTCCTTGAGATCTTTTCCTTCTTCACTCACTGCTTGGTGTCCCTTCTGAATCTGATTCTGATTGATTCTGATTCTCATTCTGATTCTGATTCTGATTCTGATTCTGATTCTGCCCTGCAGCAAAGACCCACGACATCCAGATCTCAGATGTCACTGAGAGCAGTGCCAGGCTGCGCTGGGCCAGCCCTGAGCCCCACAGCACCTTTGATGTCACTGTCACCCTGGCACAGGACCATTCCCTAGTGCAGAGGCAAAACCTGACCGGCACTGAGCATGTCATCCGGGGGCTCCGGAGCGGGCAGAAATACGCTGTTGTCATCACCGGCTCCCAAAAATCCCAGCACAAAGTAACCTACACAGGGTCATTCAGCACGAGTAAGTGACTCTCAGAAACATGTGGGCATTTATTTTGTTTCATTAAGTGGGCACAAAAAGTGGAGGGGAAAAAAAAATGTAGGGATCGGGAATAAGTTGGTACTAGCAATCCCAACATGGCAAATGTGTTTCTTTGAAAAATGGGAGTTTGTACTTCAGTGGGGTGAAATCAGCACAGAATGTGGGATAATTAAAGGCAGTCCCAGAGCGGGTTTGTTACGTGCTGGAGGGTTTGTACATCGGTGCAAAAGGTCTTGGTGGGGGCCCAGCCTGCACTACTGCAATTAATAATGAGTCAAATTGGTAAACTCAGTCCAGCCTGATTTCAAAATAAGCAAGAAAAGCTGCTTTCCTAATACCCAGTTCCATGGCTACTGATCTGCTTCCCACACTACCCAGAAAAACCCACAAAGAGGAGATGAAAGGGAAGGTTTGGTCCCTTGGGGATCCAAGCTCCATGTGTGCACAGCCATCACCAAACTCTCTGGCATGGCCAAAAGTTGCTGTCTAAGACACAGTCAATGTTTTTTTTAATACAGTTGGCACAGAGGTGACTTGGCTTGGTGGTGTGAAGTTTGTGCTGGTCCTGCCAGTGCCGTGTCTGGCTTCCTCTGGCACTTCCAAGACAATTTCAGTGCCCATGGAGAGCCTTTCCTCTGGCTTCAGTGGGTTTGGACCAGTCCCTCACCTTCACAAGCAATTAACATGCCCACAAAAATGTTGAGAAAAGACATCAGTGGGTAGAAGTAACATTTGCATGTGCTGAATTGGAGCTCCCAATGCTGCTTTTCCCATGGAACAAACCTCGAATGGGAATAAACTGAGTAGGCACTGGTGGAAAGCTGTGACCTGGACACTGAGTCCCTCATAGCCACAACCAAATCATACACTAAAAAAAAGCAAATCCAGCCCTTCCTGTAGCTGCAGACCCCTCCATGGAATATTTTTCACCTGTGACAATCCTCACCATAGAGGGATGTGAGACCTGATGGGAGGGGTGCGCTCCCAGAGAGCCCTTGAGGGAACAAGAGACTACAGATCCATCATGGATTGGCTCCATGAGGGGTTGCCATTTTTATTCTGCCATCTCCAAGACCAGGAGACCAAAGCTAAAGTGGCTCCTGAGAGGCCACATCCAGCTCCTGTCAATGCTGTGGGGTGAGTGGGGCCATCCAAAGCAGCCCCATAGGGTCCTGAGGATGCTCCTCTGTGGTGACCCCCGAGGATGAGCCCAAGCAGAGCCACTGGGGAGGGAAGACAATCCCATCCTGGCCCAGCCAGGCATTTGGGAATTGCTCCTCCCATCAGCTGCCTCCAATAAGCATTTCTCCTATGTGTGTGCTGGGCTAAACAGATCCAGAGCTGGCCCCTGTGCTGGAGCTGGGGCTGGGGGTTGTCTGTGACTGCCCTGAGGGTGCTGCTGCTGCTCCTTCCCCCTGAGTGACCCTCTGCCTCTCCCCACAGAGACCCAGGCACAGGCCCAGGTGTCCCTGGCCAACATGATGCTCAACACTGAGCCACTGGAAGGGCCTGAGAGTGGTGAGTGGGGGGGATTGCTGGGCTGGGGTTCTCACAGTGCCACTAACACCAAGGGATCTGAGCATGGCCCCGGTGACACCTTGGCAGCACGGGCCAGAGCCCTGCAGTGGGGTCTCTGCCTCTCTTCATGGCTTTGGGTGACACCAAGGTGATCACACTGGTGCTGTCACACACCATCAGTGCCACAACCCCTCCTCCAAGGGCCTGGAAGGGCTCTCAGCCTTCACCCAGCAGCACAGCCACTGCAGCCACACCAACAATGGCTCTGCAATCATCGCTCCCGTGTTTTCCTTCAGACATTCTGCTTGTGCTGGGGCTCGTTTTCTTTACAGAGTGGTCTGAGAGCACAGGGAAATGCAGCCAGGAGTTGTGGAGCTGCTGCTGTGGAGCTCTGGCTGCTGCTGGTGTTGAGTGGGATGAGCATGGATCTCAGTCATGCCTGGCTGGTGGCACCACTGGAGCTTTGTGCAGCAGAGGGGCCAAGGGCTTGTGCTGGACCAATTTATTTCTCCTTCCTGCATGACCCATCATCCTTCCCTTCCCATGTGCTCCTTCCTGCTCATTTGGCCCCTCTCCCTGGCACTGCCATCCCCCTCATCCCCCCTTGTCCCCACCAGGTGACAAGCACCCCCTGCCTTTGTTTAACCCCTTGTTTAACCCCCTGGCACCAGCCCTTGGCAAACCAGGTGTGTGGGCTCCTCCTGCCCCAGGGAAAAGGGATGTGCTGAGTGCTTTGCTCTGCACCTCCACACAGACCTCTCCATCTCAGCTCCATTTGCAGCAAACACCTCTGCCTGAGGATTTATGGCAGCCAGCGATCTGGGGGGAGCATTCCCCAAGGATGCTCATCCAAAGGTTTTTAATGGGATGAAGACTCTAAAGAGGACAGGGAATTGGGGATGGGTTTAGCTGAGCCTCCTCTAGTTCACAGGAGACGCCCATGTGTAAATCTTCAGAGAGATTTTGGAGTAAACCCTACACTCTGCCCTCCTTGTATGGGTAAAATAGCATGGATGGCCCAGCACAGCTAATCAAAACTCTGGGATTTGGACCTAAATTATAATTTTTGGGGCAGGGAAGGAACATATGTTTAAGTGTTCATGGAGCCTTCACATATGCCAGGCGCAACTTGCTTTTAGAGATAAACACACTTAACGACTCAAAGTCACCGCCAAGACAAAGGGCTTTGAAAAGAGGGTGGGGGGATTTGTGTGAGGGCACCAGTGGGGAGTAAGAGGCTCCCACTATGCTGCTCCCAGGATCTGGGGGTTGGATCTGTGACAAAACCAAAGCAAGAAGTGAACTGGAGGCTGAGGAAGGTTTGCATCCAGCAAAACACATGAGAGGGAAATGCCACCAGTCCTGAACCAGACTTTATTTTTCCTTTTTTCCCCCCTCTTTTCAATCTCTTTGCTTTTTCAGCTTTTAACCCCCTCAGGATCACTTAACCTTTGCACCTTTTGCCATGCAGATTGGCCAGACCCTTGCTTGCTGGACTTTGACATGGGCATGCAGTGCAAGGACTATCAGATTGTGTGGTTCTTTGACTCCAAACACAAGTTCTGCAGCCAGGGTTGGTATGGTGGCTGTGGAGGTAATGCCAATAGATTTGAGACCGAAGCTGAGTGCTATAACAAATGCTTAAAGCCATGTAAGTACCCCATGAGGATTCACCCTTTTGCATCTTGTCCTGTTGTCAAATGATGCTTGGATCAGAGAGAAAACACCATTTAAAATCCAAACCCGTGCGCTTTTTCCTCCTCCAGCAGCAGATGAGAAAGCCATGCAGCAGCCACCCCTTGAGAAAAGATTCTCATCAGGTAACACACCCCCCCAAAAAAAATGAATCATCACAAACAAAGCAAACCCATTCTTCCACCCTGACCATTTCACAGCATGCATCCAAGCCTGTCCAACCCCACATCAAAAGTAGCACAGATTTAGTTTCCACTTGCTCCTTCACACCACCATGCCCTTCCATCTGCTTTGCATGATCCAGTCACTTTGCATATGTGTTGTCCCACCAGGATGTGCTGTGCTGGCACAGCCTGGGTGGCAAAGCTCCCTGGATTTCACCAGGGACCTGGGGTTGCTGAACTGGAGCGTGGCACGGTCCCAAACCGGTTTGTGTTATCTCTGTGTGACCAAGAAGTGCCACCCCTCTGCTGGAATGCAGAGAATTCCCAACATTTCTCTGCCTGTAACCAAAACACCTGATGGAAAGTGACTCCATGGGGCTTGGGCATTGCATGGAGACGTTTTTCTTCATCTCCAAAAGAGAAAAGCCAAGCCTGAGGGAGGAGCCTGCAGGAAAATGGCGATGCCCTCCTCTCCTCAAGGATTTTCTGAGGTTAAGGGATTATGTTTGCAAACCCCTTCAAGACCTGGGAAGGGAGAAGAGGCTTGAAATCGCCTGTGTTGGTTCAGCAAGGGGTTGGGATGGGAACAGAGCCCAGAAAATCCTTATCAGAGCAGCCTCCCCCTCCCAGAGGTGCTTTAGGGCCCTTTGTGGAGCTGGGAGGGAAACCAAGGAGTGAAGACAGCTCTGGTGCCTAAAGGCAGGGCTTAAGTCCTTGCAGTGGCATGGCAGGGTTTGAAAAGGCAAACTACAGACCCTTCCTCCTCATTTGCCTTTCTTAGGTTCATTTTAGGATCCTTAAATGTATTTGGGAATTTTTGTCACTGGCAAAGATGCGCAGGCAAGGAGGAGGCGGCCACCACCAGCCACAGAGATGCCTGGGGTGGCCAAAGGGGATTTCAAGGTGCTTTGGGGATGCAGATGGGCACCATGGCTCCTCTGGCTGTAGTCTGAGCACTTTGCTGCCAGAGGAAGCAGCACACAGCTTCACTCCAGAGCAGGATTCCACTCTGGGAGAGCAGGGAAGCCTCCCTGATGAGGATTTCTCTGGAGGGCAGGAGTTTCTCCTAGCCCTGTCCCACAGGCCAGCCCCTTCTGATCCCTGTCACATGCTTTGATGATGTTTCCAGCAACTGTTTCTGAGGCTGAAGCGATATTTCATCACTTTGGCACCGCTCTGCCCTGGGCACAGAGTCAAGGAAAGCAGCCTGGGGGCCCTGGAGGGATGTTCAGCTTTATTCCCTTTCCATTTTCTGCAAAGCCAGAGCTGGAATCCACATGGAAAATGGACACAGGAGTTCAGGGCAGCTCAGCTTTTGAGGTGCTCAGGCTCTGGGTTCAGTCCTCAGCAGGTGTAACAATGAGAAATGAGTTGAGCTCCCAAACTTTAAGGCACTTTGGGTGCAAAAACGTGCACCAGACCCATTTCCCTTTGGAAGCCTTTCAAATGCTGTGATCCCCTTTAATTAAGGACTTTTTATAGATAATTTTTCATGTGTAGATGTGGAACATGAGGCATAGTTTAGTGGTGGGCTTGGCAGTGCTGGGCTCAAGGGTCTTAGAGGACTTTTCCAACCTTAATGGTTCTATGGTTTTATTTTTTAATTGTTAATAACCTTTTCACCATGACAAAAGTAACTCTTAAGTGTAACTAAGGAGCCCAGGCACATATTTTCTCTGTGGGATGACTTAAAACCCTGTCTCTCCCCATCTTTTCAACCTCCTACAGCTTAAAACACATTTTAACTCCCCAGTTCTTGCTCTCCATCAATTCTTGGAAAATTTTTGGGAAGATTTGTTTCATTTCAGACTGAAATAGGGGCAAATTAGGTTATATACACAAAAGAAATCCTTCTGTTTTGATTAGTGTTTGGATTTCATTCTTGTGCAGCGTTTGGGGAAGAGTCATTCCTGTGTTCACATCTGCTAGATTTCAGTGTTTTGGAAAGTGGGGAAGAAAGGAGATGTCTTTGGAAAAAGAAAATCTGAATATAAAAAAGGCAAAGAGCTTGCCCAAGGCGTGGGGAAGCTTTAGGCTGTAGGAACCCAAAAGCAAAGCTGAACTGGAAGGTCAATACTGATTTCTGACTCCCCCTTATCTGTGGTGTTTAGGCTGTGCTGAGCAGAGGTGGCATAAACTCCTTCTCCTTTCCTGTGTGAAGGGAGGTGTGTGATCTGATGGCAAATCAGTGGCTGATATATTTTTTTATTTTAATTTTTTGAAAAATTATCTGGCAATTTCATTTTGCCACAATCCAAGCGCTCTGTTGTTTTGTCCCCTGCTCACCCAGCCAGGGATGCAAGATGCAGTGTGGTGCACCCAGGTGCATCTTCACACGGAAAATTTCTCTTTTAAGTGAAGTCAGTCATTCTGGTGGTGCCAGTACTTCTTGCCTTGCAGCCCAGCCAGTCCTCTCCCGGTTCTGAGACTGCCAGCTGATTTCCTACAGATCCAAAGGATTTGCAGGCAACCACTGCCATGCATCACTCCTCCTTCATCACTCCTGGATGCATGGCAGCAGCACAGGAGACAAACAAACTGGCGGCCTCCAGGGAAAGAGGTTCTCTTTGCAAAGCAGGAGATGGGATTTAGTCATCTAAATCAGGAGACTGCGCACTCTGAGCTGTGGATGCCCTTTCCCAGCCTGCAGACACACTGAGAAAAGGCAGTGCTCCACCCAGGAGTGCCACTGACCCCTGTTGCTCCTGGTTTTCCCCACAGTGATGGATGTCTGCCGGCTGCAGAAGGACGAGGGCACCTGCAGGAACTTTGTGCTCAAGTGGTACTACGACCCCGAGACCAAGAGCTGCGCCCGCTTCTGGTACGGCGGCTGCGGCGGCAACGACAACAGGTTCAACACGCAGAAAGAATGTGAAAAACTCTGCACCCCTGGTAAGAGGGACCAGCCACATCCCTGGCATCCCCCCTCTGCTGCTCCTGGCTGTTTGTCTTCCTTTAAAATCCTGCATCAAAACTTTATTTGTTCCTTCTTTCCTCACCAGGAGCCATCAACCCCGGCGCGGTGACAGCGATGGGGACATAGAGCCAGGGGCCGGCCAACACTTACCTCTGAGACAGCATCACCTTTGCCACCTTGCCCCTATAGAAGCTAAGGGTATAGACAACCTTGCACTGTAATATTTCATGCTTTTAACTCCCAGGCAAACCCCGAGGAGAGGGTTTTGCTGCATGACCTATCAATATGGTGCTAAACTGTTTGTGGACTGAGTGCTACACGTGCCCGGGTTATATTGTATAGCTTCAACATTGCCAAATATTTACCCAAGTGCAGATTGTTATTGTCTCTCAACATGTCTTCTAAATTAGCCTTTTTTCCCCCCCAATTCTGGCTGTCTGCCTATATAAGGCATCACCAAAATGAGTCAAAAAAATCAAATCATAATAATTTCACTGCAACTTGTTACCTGCTTGCTTTTATCCTTCTCATAACTGAGTGTAACTTTACAGGGGAAGCCTTTTTGTAAGAGAGTGGCTGATTCTGATAAAAAATTGGTTCCATTTCCACTCTTCCTCTTTTTTTTTTCTCCTTTTGCTGGATTCAGTCTCAGACTACATCTCTTGTATGCATTTGTACCACATGTGGCCAACTGAACTAGCAAGGAAAAGGAAGCAAAGTTTCCAAATGCAAATGCACTGCTGGGACCAAGGCCTCAGTTAACAAATCTTTAAATTGTGGTGTAGGATGCCTCTGGCATTCTTCTGATGTTGTATGTTTTATAAAATACAAAGCAAAGCAGTCTGGGGAGGGGGAGCAGTGGGAGGGAGGGGGGGTTTTATTTTTATTGTGGATTCTGTGTCAGGAAGTCTATACAAAGAACTTTTAAATAAAGTCTAATGGAGGTTTTGAGAAACTTGTGGGTTTGTCTTTGTTAAAACCAGTGTGGGCATCAATGGAATAATTTTCCAGGGTCTGGAAAGCAATTTTTTGGTGGGGGGGAAATCCCACTGTTCCTCAAAGGGAGGATAAATGTAGTAAGGGTATTCAGGGGGACAGCACTGAGAGGCTGCTGGCAACCTGGAGATTTCCAGCTTGGAAAAAAGGTGGAAACAGAGATGTCTTGGTTGTGAAACCTACATCCTGAAGATATTTAAACTGAGCTGGACATGGCATTTAGCAATTTGGCCTCAGCCAGTCCTGGGTGCCCTTGTGTGACTCAATGATCCCATAAGTATTTTCATCTGTCTCCTTCGCTTTCCACAGCCACGATTTTTACCCTTCCTCTCCTTCTCTGAACTCGCCCAAGGAAGATAAAATTTCCAGAAACAATGCACATTTCCCTGCCCCTCCAAAAATCCCCCCTGAAAGCAGAAAGCAGATTAAAGTGGCCACCCCAGGGCACAGGGCAGCTCTGGGTTTTGGGGGCTCCGTTATTGTCCCCAGGCAGGGATTGATCACACTTCCCGTGGCCTGCTGGAGGTGCCTGGAAGGAAAAAGGGAGCCTTGCCATGGAGAGGGCAGCTGGAACACCAAACCCAGGGCATTGCTGAGGGAGAACTGGGAGAGGGCATTGACTCCTGGAGAATTGGGCAGGATTGGTTAAACCTTGGAAAGGAGACCGTTGCCATTCAGAGCTTCTCCAGGTGTTCTTCCAGGGGTCAGGATGGGGCTGGCAAGAGGACAAGACCACCTGGTGCTGTCCTGCTGCACTTTAGTCAGGTCCCCATGGGCAGGAGATGTTCCATGTGTGCGGCACACACAACAACAATTCCTTTGGAGGTGTCTCCCAGGAGGATTTGCCCTTCACCACATCATTTCCGAGACTGAATTATCGGACCCCTTGGATCCAGGGGGTTCCAAGGGAGCAAGAAGAGCTCACAGGGCTGCTCTGGGCTTTGTCCTAGTGGGGATTCACAGCTCAGGCATCCCATTCCTGGCAGGAGGAGCAGCCCAGAGCCCAAAACTTTCCCGCCAGCACCGAGCCGCTTGCGTGGGGACAGGGGACAGCTCGGCTGGGGACGGGCCAGGTCATGGCAGCTGAGCTGGGGAAGCTGAGCTGTTTATTTGGCACCTTCCCGTTAGAGCACACCACGAGGGCTTCATTAGAAAAAGAGGGGAATGGGTCAATTCCATTTATTTATTATTTATTATTGTAACTGGCTCTTGCAGTGGCTCTGGGGGACTCTCTGCATCTCACTGCGAACCGGGCATGGCCAAGCCCCTCACAACTTTCTGCTCTCAAAAGCTGCACTGAGGTTAAAGCGATCCCTCCCTCCGTCCTCCCAGCCCTCTGCAGCACGGGAGAGCTTTTCCCGATGCCTGCGCCGCCTGCGTTTCCCGGGGCAGCTGCTTTCCATGCAGCGCTCCAGGATGCTGGGGCGCATCCCGGGATGTCACAGCGCGCCCGGGGGAGAAGCAGCAGCTCGGGCAGGGGCCCCTCATCCCCTCCCATTCCATCCCATCCCATCCCCTCCCATCCCGGGGGCGTTGCAGGCGCCTCCCGAGCCTTTTAAGGAAGCGAGCTACGCCCCGGGCCCCCGGCCAGGGCCACGAGGGGCTGCACATGGAAGTCATCTGCAGCCGGGAGCGCATCTGCCAGCGTGGCTGCGGCTGTAAAAATAGCCCGAGCCACGGGTGCCGCTCCCGCTGCCGCTGGGGAGCCCCCAGAGCCGCGCCCCGCTGCTTTTGGGGTGGGCCCAGACCCCCCCTAAGCAGGGTTTCTTCTGCAGACATCGCCTCCTGCATCAGAAAAGCCCCTGGAGTTGGTTCAGAAGGTCAGTCTTACAGCCCTGCCCCGGACCAGGGCTAGAATTTCCCTTCAAGCTGAGGGCACGTTGTGAGATGGAAGTGTGTCCCTGGAATTGCTCTAAATCTCTGGAGGTTTCCAGCACAGGGTCAGGGAAACCTTCACAGGGCTGGTGTGGGTTGAGATGACCATGCCTAAAGTCCAGGTGAGCCTCAATGCTGTGTCTTCAAATCTGAGTGCTGGTTCTGTCCCAAGGAAAGAACCACAGAATGGTTTGGGTTGGAGGGACCTTAAAGATCATCCTGTGCCACCCCTGCCATGGGCAGGGACACCTTCCACTATCCCAGGGTGCTCCAAGCCCCATCCAGCCTGGCCTTGGGCACTTCCAGGGATGCAGCCACAGCTTCTCTGGGCACCCTGTGCCAGTGCATCACCATCCTCACAAGGAACAATCCTTCCCAATATCCCATCTAAACCCTCAGTTTGGATTCATTCCCTCTCGTCCTGTCACTACATCTTTCTTGTACTGTCCCTTCAGGTCCTGCAGGGAGAGGGGTGGGGCACAATCAGCAGAGCCACCAGCCCTTATTTTACCAGGGAATTTCCTCACGGAGCATTTCCCAGTCAGGCTGCCCAGAAGAAGCCACAAAATCCTACACTCGCTCCTTCACCCACACTTCATCCTTAAAGAGTGATGGTGGACAGCCCCTGGGACAAACCACTCCAAAAAGTCACTGTCAAATCTCACTTTTCCCAGTTGAAATCCAGAGGGTTCTGGATGCCTCTGCTGCCCTTGGAGACCAGAAGGCTACGAGCCTGCTGGTGAAAACTCCAGGGTTCAACCCCAGAGCACAGACATAACCACTTATGGTACCAGTGGTGTCATAAAAGCCAAGAGCAGGACGTGTCCTAGAGTTCAACACTGAAGCCAGACCCTTAAATTTAGGACAGCATCAGCATTTAATGCTTGGTTGGGTTCCCTCAACGCTGCAGCTTTGCATTTAATCACAGCCTTCCAGGGAGACCTTTACAAGGAGCGGCAAAGTGGCTCTGACACATTTTATTAGCCACTATTAAATTTATTGCATCGCTAAAAGAAGCCAGTCTAGAAGTCTATGGATGCTCAGATGTACCTGCCCAGCTCCTTCCTGGGTTTCCCAGCAATGCCAGTGTTGACATTCCAAGGTCAGGAGTTCAAGGAAAACGACATCCTGCCATGCTGGGCATTCCTGGAAATTAGGAATGTATCCAAGTGCTTCAGCAGAGATGCAGATAAACCTGGAGCAGCTGAGCTTGCAGCAAAGGATCTTTGGGAAACAGGGACAGGAGTGTGGGCATTTCCTTGGTCAGGGGTCTGCAGCTTGTGGGATCGAAATACTGCAGCCCCCAACCCCAAAATCACTGCAGTAAGGTGGAGATGATCAGGTGAAATAAGGGGATTTGGAAGACCCTAGATTTTCTAGGTGCTGCATTGGTTTTTGACGATGTTTTGCAGCCCCACAAGTGTTTTGGGGCAGAATAGTTGGAATGTCCTGGGCAGCAGCACCTGGCAGGGCAAGCTCCATTCCCCTGAGCCAAGCTGAGCATCCCGGGTGGTTCTAAATCCCAAAAAACTTTGATCCACGGTAACTTTAACCTTCCCAGACCCTGCCCAGAGGCCGGGGATCACTCAGAACGGCAGCAGCAGCTCTGGGGAAGCGCAGCCTTCCCAAAGCCGCCCTCAGGGCTCAGCGGGACGTGGCGGGACAAACAGCCCCAGCGAGAGCCGGGAGTGCGCTCCAGCTGCGGCAGGATTTATGGGACAGCAGCAGCACGGCTTTTTTGGGGTTTTTTCTTTTTTTTTTTTTTTTTGGTTAAACAGAGCAGATCCGAACCAGATGTGTAACCTTTATCTCCATCGCTGTGCAGAGAGACGGGGGAGCAGACAGGGGAGAGGGAAAGACGTTTGAGTTTCCATGAGCCCCGCATGCTCCCAGAGCCAGCTCACCAAGAAAAATGAGCGCCGGCAGCCAGGAAACTTCGCCGGCTGCTCCAGCCCCGTGTTTTGTTTCCTCCCTCCGTTGCTGCGGAGAAATAAAAGCGCTGCTGCCGGCTGCGATGAGCTCACCGTAAAACCCGATATTGTAAAGATGTGACCCGGCAGGGGCTGGGGATGAGCCCAGGGCTCTGCTCCGGGGAAGGGCAGGAGGCTCAGACATCCATATTTTGGGGGATTTCCCTCCCAGGCAGTAAGGTGCAAGGGGGAGGGATGTGGGAGAGTGGTGGGGGCTGCCTGGGGATGCCAGGGGAGAAGGGTCCCTGAGGGAAAAGCACAAAATCGGGAATTCTGTATTGGATTAATGATAACCCCAGATGCAGGGAAGAACGATGTGCATTTGACTTTATGATATTAGGAGGTTAATTATTCTATTCTATTCTATTCTATTCTATTCTATTCTATTCTATTCTATTCTATTCCATTCCATTCCATTCCATTCCATTCCATTCCATTCCATTTTACACTGTATTGTACTAACAAGAAGTACCTCAAACTGAAGAAATTTGTGACTGCTGACAGTCTCCACACCCACATGTGGATCCAACTGGTTAATGAATTAAAACATTCTCACCAGAATCTAATTAAGTGACCATCCTGGGTGGACAACCTTCCAACACATTCCACATGTCCACACGTTTTAAAAACACAGGAGTAGCAGATAAGAATTGTTTTGATTGCCCCTTTCCTTTCCTTTCCTTTCCTTTCCTTTCCTTTCCTTTCCTTTCCTTTTCCTTTTCCTTTTCCTTTTCCTTTTCCTTTTCCTTTTTCCTTTTCCTTTTCCTTTTCCTTTTCCTTTTCCTTTTCCTTTCGCATGTGAGTACCCCAGTTCTGTGTCCAGCTCTGGGGTCCCCAGGACAGGAAGATCAGAAGGATGGAGATGATCAGAGGGATGGAGCAGCTCTGCTGTGAGGAAAGGCTGGCAGAATTGGGATTCTTCAGCCTTGGAGAAGGCTCTGAGGCAACCAAATTGTGGCCATGCAGTACCTGAAGGGAGCCTGCAGGAAACACAGAGAGAA